TTGATTCCAGTGGTTCATAAGCCTCACTTGTGAGGTGTTGGAGCACTATATTTAGATCCCATGCTGGAGCCTTGAAATCTCTGTTTCTGATCCTCCAATCCGGAATGAAGCGTAGCAAGGCCAGTAACTCTGGCGTCTTCGTTAACTTGACACCCGTTCTCATAGTTATCACTGAACTTAATGCTGCGAGATCGTAGATAGTGTCAAGCCTTTTAGGCGTTTTTGGTTTGTCGTAGGTGACAAAGGTAGTCTGCCACTTGAGGGTGTGTAGCATTTCTAGCTGTAAATCCCTTTTTAGCAGCGTATGTCTCAAAACTGTGCCACTTGTCATCATACAAGTTCGCGTGTAGAGTTGCGCAAAGCAAAGCGTGACTGCTTTTGCCGCTCTGGCTGAATAACCTCTCTTGTTTAAACACACTTTAATACAGTCCATCATTGAAGTTGGAATGCTCCTGGGTTTTCGTGCGCTTGTTTTGTGTGAGGGTGTACAAGTAGATTCGGCGCTTTGGTAGTTGTAGTATTGGTTGTCCGATTTTTGAATTAGAATGGGAAACCACGTTCTAGCTGGCCAGTAGAGTAGCGACCAAAATCAGTTGGAGGCTCTGAGTTTGTCTGATTTTCTGTAACACCCTTGGTATTAAGCTGGCTGGTGGAAGCGATATCGCATTGAGGCCTTCCCAGGATATGCTTAGGCGTCCGTTGCCCACGCTTGTGGATCGGGACTGGTGAGGCGAATGTTGTTAGCTGATTGTTGAAGCGAGTTGCGAATAGGTCTATTAATGGAGCTCCTATTTCCCTGATAATCTGGCGAAGATTTCTGGGTGGAGTTTCCATTCCGTCGGTGGCGGTAGATATGGCGAGAGAGAGTCGTCTGCTAGTACATTCTTGGCTCGGGAATGTGGCATGCTCTGACATGTATGTTTAGATCGTCGATCAGATCGAACAGTTGGAAGCATAGAGTCAAAAGGTTCAATGATCTCGTTGAACCTTGTTTGTTTATATAAAGCGCCACTGTTGAGTTGTCGGTGTGGATCATTAGGTGCGCATTCTGTAGAATGGTGCTCCAATGAAGTAGGCGTTGATTACTGCTTTCATTTCGAGCATGTTTATGTGCAGTTTGCTCTCTTCTTGGTTCCATAACCCTGATGCCGTCCGGTTGGCGAGATGAGCTCCCCAACCTTGGAGCGACGCATCTACATAGAGATGGGTTTTGAACTCTGGCTCTGTTAAATAGATGCCTTCGCAAACATTCGACCTCCTGGTCCACCAAAGTAGATGAGGTCTGAGGTAATTCGGTAGACCGAATGGTTGAAGGTCGTCGAGATGAGCGTTGATGAGGACCTGTAATGGACGTAACTGTAGTCTGCCTCTGGCTGTCATGTCTTGTGCTGACGTGAGGAGACCCAACAGACTCTGCCACTGTCTTAGTGGTAACAGAGAGAGTAAGGCTTGTGGAAAGGTCTGTTGGATCTTGAGCCATCGGTCCTCTGAATGGTACGACGATCACGATTCTGTGTCGTGAGGAATCGAATGCCTAGAAATTGCAGGTTTTGCGTAGGTTCTAGGTCCGACTTGAGTAGTTTCACTAACCATCCTAGCTGTGTTAGTAGCTTGATGGTGAAATTCAGTTGTAGTTTGAGACGCTCTGGATCTTGATCTACTTGAATCCCGTCGTCGAGGAAGAACGCACTGCGTAGCCCTTGACGATGTAGGTAAGTGACGATGGGTTTTGTTACTCTTGTGAACAACCAGGGGGCCGATGATATTCCAAATGGTAGTACCCTCCCGTCTAGAGTAAACCGTAGGTACTTCCTCGAGTCGGGATGTATCGGGATATGCAGGTAGGCATCCTGTAGATCTATACTGGCCATGTAGTCCATCGGACGAACGAGGTGCCGTAATTGAGGTAGATGTATCATGCGAAACGTTGGCGGTTTGCGTAGATAATCCCTGTTGAACGTGCTCATGTTGTAGATGAGTCGGAACTTTTCCTTGGAATTTTTCTTGGGCACTAGAAAAACTGGGGAGTAGAAACCTGGCTCGATGTTTACTTGATCCACGATTTCTATGGCCTGCTTGGTTAGGAGAGATGAAACAGCTTCTCATAACTTTAGTAGTTGTTGTGCCTGGAAGTCGAACTTGTGAGGGTTGACTGTAAGCGGAGAGGCGTGGCCTGTAGTTGGATTCGATATCCGTGTTGAAGGATGTTGGAGACATATGGATCTTGTAGTATTCCCCAGTTCTCCCAGTGCAGTTGAAGGTGTCCACCCACTTGTGAAGGTTGTACAGGAACGGCTGGGGGTGGAAGACTCCAGTCGTTCCGAACCCGTCTTTCATCGTCGATAGTTGCGGGAGCCTCTGGGTGCCCTGCCTCTTCCAGATCATCCCCTGTAGTTGGGAGGCGAAAAGAATGGGAGGCGAAAAGAGTCCTTTCCACTTCTGGATCCGGCCATCTTCCTGTCCCGTGCTCTCTGTAAACCAGTGAACTTCGATCTTCCGGAGTATCTCTGTGATGTCTGCTTGATGACGCTAGTCAGAGTGTCAATCGATTTAATCACGAGGACTTCTCTTGAATCCTTGATGACTTCTTTAGAGACTTTATCAATTCCTCCAGCGAAGATGGAAGGCGTTGACCATGGGGCTGTGAATAGAGGTGCTGTGAACTGTTCACCCCAACTACAGGTGGTGAGGAGACCTTGACGACGAGCCTGAGTAAGAGCTGCTGAGATGGATGAAAGGTGATCCGTCAAGAATTGCTGGTCCTTCTTCTGCATAAGGAGGGCTGAGTATATCATTCTGTCATCTTCTGATGTAGAATCTCGGAATCTAGTGATGAGAGTTTCATTAATAGTTCTGGATCTGTCGAGGCCGAAAAAACATTCTTCTGGTCATAGTTTCAACTTGAGCCAGCTTGCGATCCTCGATCTTGTACGTCTTGGCCTTGGCATCGTTGATGACTTTAAAGTTATCGTCGATTTCTTGAGCTTTGTAGAATGGGTCCATGTTATGAGCAAAGAACTTCTTGGCGTTGAACTTAGGTAAGTGCGGCCCCTGAGCTTCAGTGGCTGATTGGAAAGCTGTATCCAAGTTCTGTGGAACCGTTGCTATAGGGTCAATCGGAGGCAGGGTGATCGTGTCTGCGTCGTCCTCCCTCATGAGATAGGTGTGAGCCGGGTTGTTGTCTTTAGACGGCGAAGCCAGGTCCAGGTTGTTGGCCATCCAGTAGCGTAATTCTGCGTCGGAGAATATGATGCCTCCATCATCTTCGGTATCCGGAGCGTTGGTAAGAGGCCGATGACACTCTTCCGATGGTGACTGAGGTGGAGTTCTGTATACTTGAACAACTGTGCATGGCGACGTATGAGGAGACCTGACTGGAGACTTTCGTGGAGGCTTATGAGGCGAGCGACGTGGTGATCTATGAGGTGTCCTGCGTGGTGATCTACGTGGAGACCTATGCGGCGATCGACAAGGTGAACGGCGAGGCGATCGACTTGGAGAACGGCGAGGAGATCAAAGTGGAGAATGGCCTGACGAGCTGCATCTGTAAGGTGACCTTTGCGGAGATCGACGTTGTGGTGAATGACAATAGCTTTGCGAAGCTCTTGGGGAATCCCTCGATGACCTTCTAGACGAAGCTTCATCTGAGTCCGGTCCTGGGGAGTGACGACTTGACCTTCGCGAAGGCTGGTGGTCCGAGGCAGAGTCCGGGGATAAGAGGATCCTTCTTCGCGAATGTTGATCATCAGAGTCCGAGGCTGGTGACGATCTAGATGTCCTTTGCGAGCGCTGATCGGCTGGGTCCTTCGCAGAGGTAGACTGTGACGTCCTTCGCGCAGGCTGGTCCCTCAGTGGTGACTTGGTAGCAGCCGCTACGTTGACAGGGGGTCCCTCAGGGGTGACGTCTGCGGTGGAGCCTTCGCAAAGGCTCAGGTCCTGGGCTGGTTGTTTCTTCTTCAGTCCATAGTGGTCTTCCATCAACTTCATAATCTGTTGAACCAGGTCGCCCGGGACAGTCTGCGAAGTTGTAGTAGCTGCCCTATCTGCGTTGGTAGCGACAGGACCCATGGGAAGATCGTCAGTCCTCAGCATTGATACATCCGGCTGATTGAGGATCTGTGCTGACGTCACTGTAGCTGACACCGGTCGTTTCTTGCGATGAACATCAGGTATGATGAGCGGCTGCTCATCATACAGGCCCTGTTCTGCGGCGGGAAACAATCTCGGCTGAGAAAATTCTTACTGACTGCGTTGTTTTCCCCTTGGTAGTAGGCGCTGCCCTGGGGGTGCGGAGTCTGCTTCTTGGAGACGGCGGACTGCGTCCCACGCCTCTCCTCCGAGGGTAACTCCAGTGGAACACCAGACGGGAGGGGGTCGTCCGACAGCAGTTGACTTGCGAGGGGTTCAGTAGCCATGCCTTATGTGACCTATCTGCTGCGCGTCTCAGGACGCAAAGTAAATATTTGTTAAAAGCAGAATGAGATAAATTAATACAGAAACTGCAACGTGAACTGAAAGCACATGGTACAGTACAGCTAGGGCATATTAAATGCGGATCAGCAGCAGAAAAACGTAACTTGCAAACAGTACAGATTTTCATCAACGTAATCTACTGAACAATCACGGAGTAAACCTTGAATAAAGCAGCAGCAGTAAATGAAGGATACGAACCTCTATAAATAACTAATAAGAATATCAAACCATATTGTTGAAGGATACTAGCTAAACCTCTATGCGAAGAAAGAGACTTGTAGAGGTAACTAAGTAAGAATAATCAAAGGATATAGTGCCGTAGGGAGACATAGAAGAAGACAAGCAAAAAGAGCATGAGTCAGGATAAGGAAAAATAATTGTTTTCATATGAAACCATTGTACACCTTGAACAAGGAATAAAATGCCCTACCCTGAGAGGATGGGCTTGAATCCCAGATACATTGCACTCTACTTTGTTTACTAATAAAATGTAATCAAGAATTTGACATGTTTTAAGATAGAGTTACTTCCCCTTGACCATAGATTTTTGCAAAACAGAGAACACAGTTACCATGAACCTTCTTCATGGGCCCGGGGACCTTAGTTTGTTTTACCTTAGAAAGGCTTATTACAATGCAGATTATATAATGTGAAATATTTAACCTCATGTTTAAAAGAATAACAGAAAAGTGAATTAAGTTACCACAACTTTGTACACAAGTTTGATCAGTTTGTGCTGACACCAATTCTGTAGCAGTATACGTACATATCTAGATATCCTACTGCCAGTAAAATACTACTAGCGTGGTCACTAATCTCTGTAGCTGATTCATGTACACCACAATGTCAGTGACGGTATCACATCAGTAATGGACTGTTCATTTAACTAATACAGGGCAAGGGGGTATAAATCTATGGACTGTGTCATATTTTGATGTTCCCTCCCCATTTCCACAAATTTACATATTACAAACAATGGAACTGTGTAAAATGATCTTCCCATCCCCAGTTTCTCACTGTGTAATTGTTCAACACCCTCAATCGATGATTCTAATGTTGTATCAGCGTCTTCTAAAATGACTCACGATAACAGTGGAGTATTACTGTCAAATATCCCCTAAACTGTGAATCTGTGCGCATTTAGTTTCCAGTGACACACTATACCCACTGATCACGTGACACAAACATCTGCCGTCTGCCACCACACTCGACACAGAACCAACTGAAGCACCGGGTTGGGAAGCTGCTGTAAAATCATCTGTCTCAACTAAAGCAGGTGCAACATACACAGCTTGAATTGTCTGTTAAATATGTGACTTCATCCAATACATATATTTTCCATGGTAATTTCAATTACATTCTGCAGTTCATGTTTACCAATGGTTATTTCACGAAAGCATTAATCTGTTAATGCACTCAAATAATGGTTCATATCTATCATATGATCAGCATTTCGATATTTCTTACCATTGGACTGTTACATACCAAGTCCGTACTTCCATTCATCGGCCCCTGCCTTCACATTTGAACTCGAGTTTCCCAGTGAAAGACTTCACAGCACGTGCCACATGGCTCCATGCAGCTAAGCTTAACAGAGTAGCCTCCCTTGACACATCAAGGGAGATAATACTTTGGCGCAAGGCAAAGTGTATTTGTTCCCTTTCCCACACAATATATTATTATCCAGCCACACATGTCACGGCTTTTCACTTTGCAGCAAACATTTAGCGCTGGTAAATAACTCTTGGTAGTTACAGCTGATCAACAGTGTGAAACAATTCTTACTAATATGTCACATCTTGGAGTGGCTGGTGTGTGTATTCTCACCTCCTGACATTTTACTTGTAGGACACAGGTTTTTTTCTGGATAAGAAATCTTGTAAAATATAGAGAGGGGTGTTTGCATAAATTTGTGTCTATAGAGAATTCACAATCAAAGAATCACACACTTTTCTTTAAAAATAAATGTAAACGCTGAAAATCAGCTCTGTCTTTCAAAGCATTTGTGAATCTTAAAATAATATGAAAATATTTCTGTATTTCTCAGGGTGTTTAATACAATTTTACTCACAATTAGCTAGATTTCCAGGACCAACCTTTGTTTCCTGAGGACTGCAATACTTTTAACAAATTCTCAGTGTCAACCATCATAGTTAAGTGAGCTTACTCCCTCATTCACACACATCTTTCTCACTTGACCCTCTCCATGTCAGCCCCATATGGAGACTCCAGGTTAGAACAGATCTGAATGTACTGATGCTTGTCATAAGAGGTGATTTAACAGATTGGATTGTCTGACTCAGTCAGTTGGTTAGCTGTGTGTGGTGAGACTCAGTTGTATAGTCAACTGTGTCGTCAGACTCAGTCAGTCAATTAACTGTGTGTGTTATCCAATTTTGAAGGATCATTCCTATCATTAACCATTCCTATCATTAACTTGAATGTTTGCTCCAGCCTTCAATCACATGGGACCCGTGAAGATCCGGGGTAGAATAGGTCTTCAGCAACCCATGTGCTTGCCATAAAAGGCGACTATGCTTGTCGTAAGAGACGACTAACGGGATCGGGTGGTCAGTTTCGCTGACTTGGTTGACACATGTCATCGGTTCCCAATTGCGCAAATCGATGCTCATGCTGTTGATCACTGGATTGTCTGGTCCAGACTCGATTATTTACTGACCGCCGCCATATAGCTGAGATATTGCTGAGTGCGGCGTAAAACTAAACTCACTCACTCACTCACTCACTCACTCACTCACTCACTCACTCACTCATATGGATCATTGGTGCAGACTCCAAGATGACTTCATGGTGCTGGGATGTTGCTGATGGTGGCGTTATTCAACAGACAAAACCAAGCCGTGTACTTCTTTCACGCACACTCGGCTGACATTTGTTCATGGCGAAATGAAATATGTTGCCCTGGTCTCATGACAGATGAAGAGAACAAACCAAATAATTCATTCTTCTAAACATTTATTTCTTAGAATAATATTTACAAATGAATTCTTTGCAAACAAGTCAAGTTTCAAAAACTGTACATTCTGCTGGGGGCAACGTGAGCAGCGATGGTGTTACAGACGCTGCTACTGCCGCTGCCTCCAACATCTAGCACTAAGTCTGCCGTATATCTGACAGAAATATGTACACTGGGCTTACATTGGGATATTGGCCTGCTACACACACAGACAGGCCAACATGCAACACATCCTGCCGTGTGGTTACCAGTTGTTGAAATAGTCTCAATTCACCGTGCATATGAAGCTTACCAACAAAATGAGGTCAAGCAAATGCTAAATATTTCAAAATGTTCAACTCTACATTTTGTGATATAAATAATAAAAAAATTATAAAAAAAGCTGTAACATATCAAGTTGGAGCATTTATGTAAGACAATAATCTTTGGATAATTAGTGACAGATTCATCTCTCTGTACAGAAGTATTTCACATGGTGTCGCAGTCACAAAACCAATATATTTCATGTGCAGAAAGTATCATACAAAATTGTCTGAACAAGTTGAAAATAATTCATCAAACTGATTCAATGTTATATTACTCAATTTTGAAAACACAACCGTAAAGTTTACATTGAAATTTGTAACATGGGTTACCTCCCTTTGACCAGCAAATTATAGTGTGACCAGTTGGACACCTGCAAGTTTGGTGTTTTTAGGTTTCAGATATTATTGTATAAAATAACACTGACAGAAGGTGATCTTTTCCAATTTCATCTGATTTCAAATTGATCAGACAAGACACTAAAGATGGCATCCTTCCTGTGACCCTTGCAGCTTGACAACACATACCACTGTCAGGCTGTCAGGCAGGCCAAACACACACAGTCATATAGTAGTAGCACCTTCAGCAAATCATTTTGATTTAACACTATTTTATTATTGTACAAATTAAATTAGATTTAATTGTGAACAGACGGCTTGCTCAGTGTGACCCTGAACTGTGACTAGATGGGCCTCGTAAGCATCACTTTTCATGCTCCACATGCAAGAAAACTTCAGTTTGTCTGAGTCAGCACAACTTGTTTTCTATCAACTGAGCAAAGGCTAACTTTATTATTACTGAATGTTTGGTAATGAGACCAAACACAAGGACAAACTTGCTGTAATTTTGTTTTCTTGAAATGTAACTTTCAGTGAAATACTTTAGAACAGACAATGGTGTTTTGTTTGCCAAGACCTTGTACAGACCATGTTGTCTTGTCAGGCTATAACGTTCATATTATTAGACCGTAAGTTCCTCAGACCATGGTACCTATTTAGACCATGGTGTCTTGTTTGGCCTTAACATACACAGACCATGGTGTCTTGTTTGGCCTGAACATACACAGACCATGGTGTCTTGTTTGGCCTTAATGTACACAGACCATGGTGTCTTGTTTGGCCTTAATGTACACAGACCATGGTGTCTTGTTTGGCCTGAACATACACAAACGATGGTGTCTTGTTTGGCCTAACGTAAACAGACTATGGTGTCTTGTTTGGTCTGAATGTACACAGACCATGGCATCTTGTTTGGCTTTTACGTACACAGACTATGGTGTCTTGTTTGGCCTTTATGTACACAGACTATGGTGTCTTGTTTGGCCTTTATGTACACAGACCATGGTGTCTTGTTTGGTCTGAATGTACACAGACCATGGCATCTTGTTTGGCTTTTACGTACACAGACTATGGTGTCTTGTTTGGCCTTTATGTACACAGACCATGGTGTCTTGTTTGGTCTGAATGTACACAGACCATGGCGTCTTGTTTGGCCTTAACGTACACAGACCATGGTGTCTTGTTTGGCCTTTATGTACACAGACCATGGTGTCTTGTTTGGCCTTAATGTACACAGACCATGGTGTCTTGTTTGGCCTGAACATACACAAACGATGGTGTCTTGTTTGGCCTAACGTAAACAGACTATGGTGTCTTGTTTGGTCTGAATGTACACAGACCATGGTGTCTTGTTTGGCCTTAACGTACACAGACCATGGTGTCTTGTTTGGTCTGAATGTACACAGAGCATGGTGTCTTGTTTGGTCTGAATGTACACAGACCATGGTGTCTTGTTTGGCCTTAACATACACAGACCATGGTGTCTTGTTTGGCCTTAACGTACACAGAGCATTGTGTCGTTTTAAGCTATAACTTGCAGTGTTTCATGCCTATGTTTGTTCTTGGTGTATGAGGTTTGATACATGCTGAGATTCTGCAGACTCATAATGGTTTACTGTCATGACTCACGGGCAAACACTTTATGTGTGGAGAAACACAGAGGGGCACAATAATTTAAATAAATTTACAAGAAAAATATAATTAAAAGATAATTTTAAACATTCAATTATGAAGACAAAAAGAAAGAAATAACCTGTTTCTGTGAATGGGTATCCAGATTGTAGACAATGATGCATGAAGTTTCTTCTCTTAACAGTACAATAAAGCAGTACATAATACTTAACTGCCATGCTACTTTCCTACCACTCCAATCAGTGTTTGCCTCTGAGCATGACCACATAGATACAGTGTATACATAAAACCAACAGCTTTACTTTGTCCTCTGCGTGCAGTAATCACTGCACATGGCACTATAAATAAAAAGCTCAAACGTTTTGGTTGCCGTGACAACATAAATATACAAAAGCAATATTTCTACAAACTATGGTAAGCCAAGAGCAGTTGCTATGGTTACCAGATCACAAACATCAGACTCCAGTCGAAGCTGGTTTGTCTTTGCAAGAGACACACATACATCCCCACATAAAGCTTTCATTCATACCAATATTGAAGTCTTTGCACAAGAGTAACTTTTTTGTCTTTTTTTTCAGTCTCATTTTTTTTATCTTGATGGCAGCAAGTAGAAATGCAAATGAAGCACATTGCATATATCTCCCTGCAGCAAGGAAATTGTCTGCAGGATGACCTTGAGGTCAATGTTTGACCTTGAACTAGGATGACCTTAAGGTCATTATTTGTCCAGACACATTTGATGTTGTAGAATAAAGGCTATGTCGCCCTGCAGTTCGGGCATGCATGTAATATGAATAGCAACACCTTGAGGTATGATATTGGTCACATCCTAGATTAGTTCTATTTTGCATCCTTTCTTTCTACTTAGTTCTACCGATGAGGCACACAGAATATATGAGATGAATGTCCATCCAGTTAGGTGGCTGTGTTCTTTCATAAATACTGCCTTTGTTCTACTGCCATGATAATGTGCTTTGGATCAGATTAATACTGGAGAGGCTGATCTCTCACTTCTGCACCTTGAAGTACGAGTCCTTTCTCCTCAACAAATCAGAAGTCAAAGTGGCCGACCATCCAGGAAGTAATTCATAACTTTAACCTTCTGAGCAATCCATGTCATGGTTACCTCCCTTAGTTCAAGGCAATCACTTCAAAATAGCACCTTCATAGCACAATATCAGTTTCAGATGTTGGAGATATAGCACAAAACATACAAAACAAGCAGCACTGCTTCAAGCATTGTGTCAACAGGAGCTCCAACATGTTGTGTTGACAAGGGAGCTCTGTTACAATGTGTCAACAGGAGTTCCAACACTTTGTGTCGACAAGGGAGCTCTGTTACAATGTGTCAACAGGAGTTCCAACACATTGCGTCGACAAGGGAGCTCTGTTACAATGTGTCAACGAAAGAGTTCTGAGACAATGTGTCAACAAGAGAGCTCCAACACAATGTGTCGACAAATGAGTTCTGACACAATGCCAGGCTATCCGGGAAAAGCATTTTGTACACACGACTAAAGCTGTTCCACCATTTTCCATCTTTCACCGATTCCACCGATTTCCACATGTTTGTGCTAGATCCAAACTGCAGTTTGTTATCACAATGAGATGATATGACAGGAGGTGGGGGCACATCATAACCATGCTCCCATGTCCTTCTCCAAGACCGCCGCCGCGTCCATTCGGCCCATCACGCGAAGAACGTTCATAAGATCAGTAATGGCTGTCTCTTCTCGATGCCTGGCCTCCCACAGATCCAGGATGTGTTCAGTTGGGCTTGGCTTTGTGGCAAAGAAGTTGATATACCTGCAAAAAGAAGTTACATACATTAATTCTGTGTCATAGAGGAGATGAGGATCTAGTTCTAGACCTCATCACAACCCAGACCAAAATCAATGGTAATCTTTACAGAGATTTTTCTCCTTCCAACATTAGCACTACAAACTCTATACCCCAATTCATCCATCATCTTCTGTCTGCTCAACTAAAACTTAACCCCAGCACCACCTGACAGCCCCATTCTCATCTATCATCACATCATTTCACCATCTGCTACAATCCTAGCTGTTCCCACCCTTAATTATAATCCACCCTTCTGGGGCCAGTGTTGGAATAATTAATTACCAACCACTCCTCTTTCTGATCTGGGCTTAGAACAGGTACTCATAATTATCATTAGCACCTGGGGTGGCAACCAGTGCCCAACCAGTGCCCAGCAGTCTGCATGGTCAGGCAGTGTGCCATGGCTTCCTGACCCAGTTCTGCGACTCTCTGCTGTTGTATTAAGTGACTGGTTCACCTAGTCCAGACTAGTCCAGACTAGTGAGACTGGAACTGATGACTGGGGACAACACTAACTAGTCTGGGCCAGGTGCTAGTCTACGTTTCCCTATCATAATGATGCCGATCTCACCATCCAAGTTCATCCCAACCTCTCTAGCCTCACAACCCAAGTTTAACCCATCCTAACCCCCAAGTCCATCTCACCAACTCAACTACCACCAAACCTCACCCCACAATGCTAAACCCAAACTGGGAATTCTTCCTGTGAGACAGTGTACAACAATATCCCTAGACCCAGTGTCCCCTGCAAGAAACTGCTTCGACCCCACATGTAGGATGGTGCTTATATGCAAAAGGAACACACAAAAGAATCCGTTCACAACTCACATTACACTACAATCTAGTTTTTTCTACAGTGTTGAACACACAAAGCCTTGTAGGAAATGCACCTGTTTAATGGTGCTGAACTCTCCCAATATGTCATCGTGGCATCACTGTCCATGTCGTCATCCCAGACAGGCAGGAGACAATACAACTCCTCAACTCTGTCTCCAAACTTACATTCTCTCATGCTGACAAAACATCCAGGAGAAACAATTCTAGCATTTGATACATTCTAACTATGGTCAGTGTGATAGGCGACAGTGTGTTCGTGTAGAAGGTTTCACTGTGAGGGAATGCTGTCAGTCAAATCTTGTTGCTCTAGTAGATTCTTATCTAAGAAAAACATTAGAAAATACCAGCATCTAAACTCCCTTGGTGATTGATGGGGACAACATGTAGTTGCACCTCCCCTTTATACATCCCAGCTATGGGCGGAATCCAGGCCATGTTTCACAAAGCCAACTTAGCATTGTGAACTTGTATAAACTTCTAAACTTATACTTCACAACAGTTTTCTCAAAAGACAGCTTTTACAAAACCCGCTCTGGCCAAAAGGGCCCTGTTTCACAAAGCAAACTTCGCACTGTAAATATGTTGTAACTTGTATGCTTTAACTTGATGCAAGACAATTCTGGAGGCCAGAGGCTGTTATAAAACCCTCCCCTGACCAACATGGCCCCTTTGTACAAAGCACTATTGTTGCTATGACAATCATGATTCCTTTATGTTAATGTAGATTCACAACAGCTCTAGCACTAAAAGACTTTCATGAAACATCATCCTGTCTAATAGGGCAGCATTGCTCAAAATGATCTTATTGTCATGACTGTCTATACTTCTGGGCCTAGATTTTTAAGCTCTCTTAGTGCTAAGATAGTCGAAAGTTAATGTTAATGTATGGCACTTATGACTATCTTAGCGGTAAGGGAGTTTTGAAAATCTAGGCCCTGTACCTTAACATAGGCTTAAGATAATGGTAGCAGTAAGATAACTTTATGGAAAGGGCCCTGTAAGTAGCACAGCTTATTCACCTATCAAGTTACTATAATTATTCACAAATATGAAAAAACATTCTCGTTTAACCCAGCTATATTATATTCTCCATTCTCCTGAAGACCTACATATCATTTTCTTCAACATGACAGAAATAAATTTATCCCAAAATGAATCTCCTTAGTTACAGCGTATTAGATCAAAAACACAGGCTCAGCTCGCCTTTTGAAATAAATACACGGATGTATTTACAAAATGGATGCATCTGTTGAATGGCTGTTTCACTATTCCTTGAACTTTTCAAAAAGTGAAAGTGATAAATAAAACTGGAAAGATGAAATGTCATTTATCGCCTGAATGTAAACCAGTCCTTGTAAGAAATGCCATCGGATACACGAGCTGACAAGAAAAATGATTTGACATACTTAACACAATTTCCTGCATGAACGGCCAGCGTATACATGTAAATGATTAACCGTTTCAACAAGCATACAAAAACCAACTTAATAGGCCTACTCTGTTCCAACCTTCTGACCCTTTTCTTTTAAAATCCTTAGAGCGAGGAAAAGTATAAGTAGCCTTAAACATGAGATACTAACTCCATTAGGTGTAACAGTCTACAGTCTACACTTCCTACAACACACAAACACGGCACAACAGTGCCAGATGTGGTACCAGTTGGCGATGACGTCATCTCGTTTTTCTACACCTGTCCTAAAAAAACACGTCATGTGTTTCTCCTTTGTCAGAAAAAGTTTGGATCTGTCATATGACATGGTATCTCTGTGGCCACTGATACGTACCTATCTACCGACAGGGTGCGTGCGAGCATCCTCCAGTCGTTGCCGCGGGAATTGGGGGGATCCAACAGCATGCAAAGCTGGGCCTTGATGTGTGGTGGCAACCTGATCGGAGAAACAGTTCGAGAATTAATAAAACAAACAGCCCCATTTATTTACCCTGAACAAGCTAAATACTGTGTGATGTAAGAGTTGAGGAAGCCAAGAATTTCCACAGGGGGCAGGTCAGTTGGTGGCAGCACAACTTTTTTTTTCCATGTTTTTAAATTTAACTTAAATTGTCTCTCTGTGTTTAAGTGGCATTTGAAGGCTGTAGTACCAAAGACCAGATTTCAGCTACTTGTTCTTTCAGTGTCAAGTTTTAGTGCTGAGGCTATTGTCTTCATTATTGACTCTTTCTTACAATTATAAAGTTTTGATTCAAACACAATATTCAAGAGACAAGGGTGTTTTAACAGCCCGACATTATGGTGAAGTGTCTACTGCCAGGTAATGATCTGACTGAAGCTAACACAGGCTTATGACAGTCACAAACTAACATCCCTGTAATTGCTGTAGGACTACAACATAGGTATACTGACATGCTGCTGAGATCATGACTGCGCCCCTGATGAGTGAGGTAAACTGTTACGTCACAAGGGCAATATTTCAGCCACATCATGATGCCCATGGAGCACAGCATCTTGGTTAAATACTTGCTTAAGAATCTTATTGACTTTACATGGATTAAAAACATCTTGATGCATGTGAGGTAACAAAATTTGCAGGCTACAAACAATTTGACAGACAGTGAGACTAGAGTTAAGAAATCATCTTTACATACTTCAGGTCCCCCCTCTATAATGGCATGGCATTAGGTTAGATCAGTTTACATCTTGTTTGATAGATTAATAAGGAGATGAAGATAATGTTGACAAGTTTAATTAGAGTCAGCATCCTATATTTTTGTTTCAAGTCTTGATGAAAGACTTGCAACAGCTCAGTGAAATGTGAAGTGTTTATGCCCATCCTAATGAACTACAAAAGAGATATCTAAGAAAGTTTATGCATGTGAAATTTCAAACTTTGATGCATAGGATGTAGAAAATTAAGCAATTTGGTCTGTTTATATCATTTTAATCACGAGCAGACATCCACGCTAATGTATGTCCGCAACAACAAACTCTCCACTACTGGAACATCACTCCTTGACACATCAAAGCAATAAGGTGCAGATATTTACTTGCACATCAAAACGAATGTCTGTAACAAATGTGAATATTTGTTGACCTTATATCACACAGATGGTGAAGGGGGCTCAAATATGATAGGGCAACCACATTGCGTCAAAAACCAGTCTTTGTTGTCATGGCTTTCCACAAATTAATCACCCTTCCAAAGAAACAGAAACCTCCAAAAGAGAGGATACATGCTATACATTTATTTTCTTTGTGAATATAAAAAGTCGTGCTTTCATGGCGGCAAGATGGCTGAAGTACTTTGCCTTAGATCAGTGTGTATTTTTATTGTTAAATCATGTACTGTTTGCCCTTGGGCCTCTGTAATATGAGTAATGTTTTCCTGCAGGCTATTTATCTGTTATGTAAGAAATATGCAAGCACCATGTGGGTTCGCTCGTTAAGCAACTCGTTAGAGATTTAATATCACTGTCTTTCTACCAGATACGTTTCATCAAAGAAATGTAAGATATAAACAGTACCACTGCATTAACGATTTAGCAATGTTTAAGCAATACTTCTTTGGGCATGTCCTTAAGATGTTTGTATGAGTAATTATGTATCCTTATAAACTCATTGAATAAAATAATATGAAGAGTGTCTTTCTGAAATGAGTGGTTGGCTTTCTAAAGAAAAGACATATCAAAATATTATTCATATGTCAAAAAAACCAAAAACACATAACATTTTATTCAAATAGATTACAAATTTGAATAACTTTTGATATCTCTTCATTCAAATTTCCTTCGTTAATAAAAACGAAAAATCACCTTGGATACTACTTTCCTGCAACTGAATGTTTAGCCTAATAGGATTACCGTGTTTCCTCCATAGAGAGCACAGGGTTCCTGACAATTATTTGCAAAGATTACTCTGAAACCTGGACTGTTAGATACTCTATAAGAGGAAACGAAGAACGTTTCATCACATTGTTTAAAACCTGTGATAATATACCAACCTGAAGACCTGTGCTGATGGATCTAGTGTTACCATGGAGCTAAACCCAGAGCTGGTTCCAGAGGAGTTAGTCGTTACCGTTGACGACCGGCCTTTCAAGGTACCAGATGGAGTTGGACAGGAAGGTATTTTCTGCAGAGGCAAGAATGAAAAACTATTAATACTTCCAAATACCAGCAAAACAATTTGAACAATGTGCATAATTTAGAAAAGTACAAAACCCTGCACCCAAAGGCCACCCAAATCTTCAGCTAAGCCTCTTCACAGTTGAAAATAAGAATATTTTTTTTAAAACCTGATTTATGTCTGGGTTGTCTCAAAACAACAGTAGCAATTACAAAAGTGGAGAGTCTTCTCAACTTCTGTTAATGTTTGTCGGAATTCTGTCTATTTTGGATCCGAGTCAAGTAGACCCAAGGAAAAAATGAGGTAACTTCGGTCAAAGTTCTTAATTTCCTTTGCAAATGATAAATATTGATTTAAACATTTTCTAAATCTGCATATGAGGCAGGTAAAAACACCGAAAGCTGTCTAAAACCTTTACAGATGTGGCCACTGATATAGAAGAGGTTCACAGTTTTTCAGAACCTACTGATATAGAAGAGGTTCACAGTTTTTCAGAACCTACATTCAAGAGGATAAGGCATTTTTGTGAAATTTTGCATGTTTGAAAACTAAAAACTTCTCTTTAAATCTTCTTTCCTTTAGATATAAAAAATAGTATTCAGTGCAGATGGGATATGAATTTTACAGTCTAGTTTCAGTTATCAATCAAAGCCAAAGGAAATTTGTTAAATTACACTGAGATATGCTTTATGCCAATGCAAGTAGACTATAGACTTATATTCTCTTAGATATGTAAAACATACTTAGGAGTTGAAAGGAATGCAAAATGGTTGCTATATTGCACATCCTCTCTCGATATTAATCTGAACATTATTGTCAGACACAATAAAGTCTGTTTGAAACTTCAAGCATCCTTTTGAACACTGACATCTGCACTTGCTACTACTTTAAACTTTAGACTTTCAATAAACTTCACAAACAGTTCCAAGGAAATATTGCAAATCCCTCCTCTCAGACTTGCCCTTATTAAACAAGGGGCATAAAACTGCTATATAAATGATTATGTATCTTTTATGCCAAAAAGAAAACATTTCCGGGATAATATTAGCTAACTTGACAGACAGTTTGTTCCCATGTACATGTGTTTTACATTTCAGACCAACACTGGCATGGCAGTTGAGTTTCATGAGGTTACATGAAAACTTTATATGGGGTCTAGAAAAAAAACGCTAATATCTTTTCCTACTGCAAATTTGGGTAAGATTTTAAGCTAGCAGCTTAATTCAAAGATAAAAAACTTTGTCAGTTTATAGCATTTTAGTGATATCAAAGATCTGATAAAACATCAAAGCCCTATCATTAAGTGATGAAAACCTTCTCCTGCCACCACGCCTCCCGAATTAAGATAACAGCCTGGAGATGCTCTACATGAGATTATTGGAATACCTAACCATTCTGTGAATACAATCTGATATTAATGGTTGAAATTCAGTTAAAAAAGCATTTTACCCATGTAATAGGGGTAATAACAGTCTCATATTTGACATAAATCAAATTGTTTTTCTTCAAAAGTATCATAAAATATATGCATGTATAGAAGTCTCATATTCCCCCTAAATCATATGACATTACTTTTCATTAACATAAACTCATATGATTCAGATTAAACCCTATCATAAATACTGTAAATATTTCACCATGATTACCCAGGTGCTGGTGGAAACATACACCACACCAGGTTTGCTACAAGACCACTGAATGTGTCTCTGTACTGTAGGTTCTCCCAGTCCCCTTGAACTAACGTCCACTGGGATCCATGCTATCAGTTACCTGCCCCAGGTAAAGAGGGATCCATGAGGACCTCTTATTCAGTGTGTCAGCAGCCTGAAGCCAAGCTGCAATGTTCAGCTGATGCACAAATCCATGCTATGTTCTCCCACAACAAGACTGCTTGTTTGTGGGTTTATTATCTTAGGCAGGAGGGAAAGAAGTCTTTGATAGTCTCTGACAGATGATGCTGTTCTGACAGATGATGCTGGTCTGCCCCGAGCTTCTATACACTTCTATGCTACATCTCATAAAGGGGAGGATTTTCACCAGGTTTTGACTCATTGGATGAATCAGATGATTTTGTAATATTTTCGAATGTCAGTTTACACACTAGGAGTTCATTGTCCCATGGGATACTCTATCAATTTAACTGACAATCCCAATCTTACCCATCAGGTTAAAGCTACCAGTAGGAACTTGATGACCCTGTGACACCACCAGTCACCATGCTACCATGTTCCTAAGACTCTGTGACCTGGTTGAGAGCCTGTCATCAGGCCCAAGGACAGGGATCATTGGTCATAATATCAATCACTGAATTGTCTGGTCCAGACCTGATTATTCACAATCTGTTGTTACACTTAAGGCATATTGCTGTGTGCAGTAATAGATCCACAAACACCAGACAACAACCTTGAACGTAGCACTGCGTTGATGACATACTGGATCACAGACAACACACTGTCTTCTATGATCACAACAAACTCAAATGGACCACTAATTTTATTTCATTGTAACCGAAGTTTGTTATACTCTTTTCAATCAAAATATGCAGAAAGTTTCCGGAGCAAATACGAAACAAACCAGTCATAGTTTCTGATCAGTTGGCTACAAGCATGTTTGTTCTATACACTGTGTAGTGTTTAACGTGTTTCACTGCAAGCAGTCAGTGTCTCACCTCTTTGAGATTGCTGACAATCTGCAGGACTTGTCTGTTGCTCAGGATGGCTTTCTGATACACCTGTATCTTACAGCTGATCTTGTACTGAGACCGGTCTATCAACTCCAGGCTGAACGAACAGTGCAGGTTATTCTGGTTTCCGCTCCAAATGTGTCGGAATGGAATTTCCTGAAATCAAACAGACAGATTAGAACACAGCAGACAGGTTGTTCATCCCTTTCATCCAATGTCACCTCTCAATCATACCCTATCTTCAAACCAACAACACCCATTTCAAAGCATGTTCAAATTTATTCCACGCTGACGCTTTGCACAATATGTCCTTTATAGTTTACAAAGTTTGAAAATTCAACTTATCTACAAATTTATAACCCAATTCAATTTAATTTATCATCCAAATAAACCTGCTTCTACCTGCCCCATGGAGCTAATAAGAATTTAAACTATTTTAATGCTGCGTATGAAATCATATTTAACGTCAGTCAAACCTATCATCTCATTTTTAATGCCTTAGGTCATGAGATTTATCAAACATCCTGCTGTTTTCTTAAACCTGTGACCTGAAAATCAGCCATTTCATCTCTCAATCCAAACATTATTACAAGAATGGAGAAACTCTCTCCAGGGCCCTACCATGGGCCTGTTTGCACTGCAAACGGGGCTTGCCATTATAAACAGTGTTAAACGTCTGATATCATGAAACAGCTTTCTGACTATTTGACCCTTACACAGATGCTGATGTTAAACTTTTTTAACAAGCAATTTTAACATTTTTAACTATAAATGTCATCAGACAGGACCAAACTGAGAATCATTTCATGATAACTGGTAGCATTCCAGATGACTGATAACAAATATGATGGGTACACTTCCATAATTATCACCATGATTACCGATGTGCTGATTATTTATCCAAACATCAAAAGGATCAAAATACACAGATAAGTATAATGATGTCATTTGAGGGTCAAGATTCAAACATTTCCACATCATAAACTCATAAATAATGCTAAAAATGGAAATATTTCAATTCCAAAATACAAACTTTGAAAGATAAATCCAAGAAAACCTGCACCTTAATCTCCGTGCAACGGAAAATAACAGCATGCTCATTGCTATTTAGCTATAAACTATTTGAAAGGTCACTATGAGTTTATTCCACTCTCTGACATCTGTAGCTAATTTAAAGAAATAAAAGTCAATTTTTCTCTGAAACTATCATAGTAGCAATCATTTTTGCACTGCATGAAACATATTTTTTTCAGTTATGCGTTTAGCAGTGTCTACACTGACAACCAAAGATGCTAGTTTCTCCTGAGTTCCCACGCCCATATTTTCATACGATGCCTACCTCTGTGTTTACCTAACATTGTTCACCACAATGACCCCAGATGTACAGAGAAGGTCAAACAGAGCTTCCCACCTCTTAACACACTGGTCTTTATTAATTATCAGTGTATAACAAATAATTCCCCTTAATCGAGCAATGGAACAAGGTTGACATATCGGAAACAATATTTCCGAAACGGAACTAAATATATTGGTTTAGGATAAACCAATGAGGACTTAGCCTCAAAGATATGCACAGACGGTTATGTACTCTGAGTGGCTTGGCCAGATAATATTTACATACATCATTCCATTAAACTGTCTTGGGAGTAGAGGAAGCACAGAGGAAGTTAATTTCGACAGAAAAGAATTTTGGAAGTCTGTTTAAAGGTTAAAGTTTGGTCATATGGTCAGCACATTTGTGACAGGAACTTACTTGGTGCTACTAAGGTTAAACATCTCATTCTCATACAGTGTTATACATAGCTGTACAGATTATATCATATCATAAGAGTTCTATATCTGAAAACTAACAAAATATTTTGTCTAGTTTTATCAAATTTCTTTGTTTTATATTTGTCACTAAAAGAGAAATGTCAAAGGTCTGTTACATCTTTCGGAAATAAATACTAAGACATCAAACCAATTATGAAATTTTCATATCAAAATCACATAATCAGTTGATTACAAATTGTGTGCATACAACTGTCAGAACCAATTTTAAGGAGATGATGAATTCTTGTCAGAGGATGCATAGAGACTACCAGTAATGAACAGCAATTCTCCTCAAAAGATATATATGCATCACCCCAGTTACACTGATATAATTAGAATCATATTTAGATTTTTCAGTGGTCACATGACAAAGCTTACATTACCAGCATGGGGCAAATCTGCCTTGTGGCGGTCAAATGAACTGACAGGAAAGCCCAGAAAGGGTAAAACGTTAAGTAAGAAAGACAAAAACACAAAATGATCAATTGCTTTCAAATAGAACAAATCTGAGTAACATGCATCATTGTATCAAATTTGATGAAACTGCCTCTGATATCTGATGTAATCATATTCAAATCCCCTCAGCTACATCAAATAAGGATGCTTTTTTAACCAAAGCTTTTCTCATCAAACAACAATCCTAATATTTCAAAATTTCAGTTGAAATAAGCTGTGTTCACTAGGCAGAGTCCAATCTTATACTCAAAGAGGTCACAAAGTTGAGTGATAAAAAGCTGAAGGTTTCGAGCTTGTATTTAGAGGAAATTGATGGGTTATCAAATTGGTGTTTAAGCTGTCACATAGTATGAGGCAGGTAATCTGTCTTCCTGCATCCCAGGGGAGGTAACTCTGGTGTAATACATCAACAGGTTTTTTACACAAGGGAGCATCAAAGCCCGAAATTTTAATTGAGACAAAAACTCTAAACTGGTGAGTTGCATACACAATTATTGGAATTCAACAACTATGCAATTACACAAAGCAAAGGTTTTTAGGCATGTTAATCAACAACACCAAAAAACATGATTGAAAAGAAAAAGAGATGTAAGATTTTGAATTTATAATATATCATTCTATTTTTGTTTCAGCCTTAAACATATATCACTTCTGGTTCTGAAGAAATAATGTTTTTGCATATTCTGATCATGCATTTAATTCAGCATATTTTTTATTGGTTGCAGAAAATATATTTTTGTCAGAACAAGAATTAAAACTGAAGCAAGAAGAAAATTATTTCATGAGTATATGTATATGTATACATCTGTTGGTTGGTTACAGTGAAAACAGTAAAACAAATGATTCCTAGAATAGTCAGAAAAACATCTCAAAATGACTTACATTGAGTTATAGATACACCCTCAACATCATACAACTGAAAGCTCAGTGAGACAAATAAATACACGACGCGAGCCATTATGAGCCATTAGATGATGAGATTCATAGGAAGGCTGATTGCCTGTACAAATAATCACAGCAACTGCACTGTATACAGAGCTTCATGATCTGCAACAGTATCCTTCAGCCGACCGATGCTCTAGTGGTTCTGCTGTAGACAGTTTTTGTGCCTGCCCCTATCTCGTGGATCAACTGTGTTGGCAAGAGGCGGTTTATTTAGACTATTTGTTGAGGTAACATATGTTTTGACACACACAAATCAACAATTTATCTACAAATGTACACTTTTTACCTTATATCAACAAAACAGCTGAACAAATTTTCTTTTGTGGGAGATAAAGATGTGTTTTTAGGTGTAAATTGTACCTATTTATATCATCTGTAGACGGTTGTAACAGGAATTGGTCATGATACAGTTAATATGAAACTTGTTACATCACAAACTTTCCTAAAAGCAAATATGACACTCGTTACATCACAAACTCTCCTCAAGATAGTTTTTTCCCCTTTTCAAGTGATCGGGCCATCAAAGTAATCTTGCAACATCAACAAACAAACTCACTGAATATATTTCTACTTTTCGAGAACATTTACCTAATGTACTGTCCATTTGTCTTTTGGCTCCTAATTGCCTCTAGTTAAGCTATAATTTAATTGTGTAGTTGTATCCAGCCCTGGATGCAGTCCATGTGAAATGAAAGCCGGCTGATGTAAACCACATCAGCCTGACCAAACACAACAGAATCTTACTATGCCTTGTCAGCCAATCGCTGGACACCCAGTAAAGGACGTCCACAATGTTTGCGTACCTGATAGTTTGCAGCAAGTTTACTTCTCCACCCTGGAGAGAGTTCTTCTATGGTAAGACAAAGATTGTTGCCGCCATCTTGGAATGGAATCTGTTTTGGTTTGTCAAGGAGTCGACCTCCAAGTCTTCGCTCTACTTGAAGGACACCCTGAAAAACATTAGATATAGAAGCATTCACAGCTTTAAGAAACAAATGGGTGTACAAGACAGTGGTAGTCAACTGAGGTAAAAGTTTCAAGTCACAGGATGGTTTCTATATTAGTTCTTAGACATGCATGTGGCTTGCTTTATATGATCAATAGTTACAAGGGAGTTGTTACATATACTCTAAGAAGTGCACAGGACTTACGTAGGACAGGACAGGATGTATTCTCCCTTCAAGTTGCCTGAGACTTGTTGCATATCTCTGCTCTTACATGACTTGTTACATATGCTCTTTCAGTTACATGAGCCTTGTTACATGTCCTTTAAGTCACATGACTTGTTACATGTCCTTTAAGTCACAACTTGTTACATATGCTCTTTGAGTTACATGACTTGTTACATATGTCCTTTGAGTCACATGACTTGTTACATATGCTCTTTGAGTCACATGACTTGTTACATACGTCCTTCAAGTCACATGACTTGTTACATATCTCCTTTAAGTCACAACTTGTTACATATGCTCTTTGAGTCACATGACTTGTTACATACGTCCTTTAAGTCACATGACTTGTTACATATTCTCTTTGAGTTACATGACTTGTTACATATGCTCTTTGAGTCACATGACTTGTTACATATTCCCTTTGAGTTACATGACTTGTTACATATGCTCTTTGAGTCACATGACTTGTTACATATTCCCTTTGAGTTACATGACTTGTTACATATGCTCTTTGAGTCACATGACTTGTTACATATTCCCTTTGAGTTACATGACTTGTTACATATGCTCTTTGAGTCACATGCCATTACATATGGTCTCAGAATCACACATAACATTATTGTTATGTTTCATAGCAACTTTGTTTTAATCTTTAATCATGAAACTGGAAAAACTGCCCTACCTCAAGAGCATCCTGTGTGTCTTCCACAACATAGACTCTAATACTGTAATCAAGAGAGGGTGTTATTGCAGGAGCAAATGCTGCTAGTCGGAGAATCTTCACTGCCCGACCGCCACCGACAGATTCACCAATCAGGGCATAGCGATTCAAAGAATCTGTGACAAGATGGCAGTGGTCAGCATCCAGCTGCATGTACAGAGGCGTGTTGATCGTCTCATGACCCAGGGTCACCAGGCGCTGAAAGTCAAAGTAAAATGTCAGATTCTCGGATCACCTGGAGTATAATCTATCACATGGAAAACTACAATTTAAATCCATGTGCCAAGTACCATGGTCACCATCTTGTTCAAATTCCACTCATATAGACCAAACATTCCTCAAACATTTTCTGCTAGACTTGTTGAGGGCCCCAGGCTTCCACAATGGCCACCTGACCAAGCATAATATACAGTGCTTGCCATGTACAACTAACACAATGGGAATAATGATGACAAATTAGATATCTGACAATCGTATTTTCAAACAGTCTTAAAAGTACTTTTTCTCATTCAAAAGACATGATTGCATATAATTTACTTCTTTTAACATGTGGTGATTATTTTCAAACCACCTTTCAAAAAGATTCTATATACACCAACTTCATATTTATCATGAAAAAATGTAGATCAAGGTCGTACTCCTGACTAAATATATACACCATTTTTATACATCCTAAATATGTCCATGTATGATGTTTGAAGGCACAACTACGATATTTCAGACATTTCACAACACAATCCTATCTATTTCACCCATTATCCCACATGCATGATAAAGCATTTATCCAAACATGTCTGAACCGGTTAAAGCATCGAGTTTCTCTTCCCACAATCTGGATTACAGTTAATACACTTTATAGACAGGATCCCAGTAAATCTGTCAACAATGCTTTGCATTTACACTTTTCAATTCTAACAGGTTTATCCACACCGCAAAGGCAAACTCAAGAGAAATCATAAAATGAATTAACGCAACATCCACTTCCTAATTAACCCACACAGAGGAGATTTATGCTGTCACTAGGCACAAGACCAGCAACCCAAATCCTCAAGCTTATTTGGAAATTTTATTATCGAGATTTCCTTGCAATAACGTTACCACCAATATTTTATCTCGGACCATCGAACATTTTTTATCCAACCCCCTTCTTTGGCTTCAATTGTTGACGTGCAATCATGGATTGCTTTTTATTTGCGCAACAGCATCGTTGCATTACTCCCTCGACTGATGTTTTGTGATTCAAATCGGCCAGGGCCATAAACCACTATGAGTCAGTTGTTTCCTCCATCGAGCAGGTTTATTGGCAGTTACATGATTACCAATTTTCACATTAATGATTTCGTCTTGTGAAAAATACCATTTAGACCTAACGTGACCCATAAAGACAGCAATTTCACCTCTTGAAATTTCTGCAATCATCGAGAAATGCAATCATTAAAAAAATTCTTTAATATTGTTCTAATCTAAATTATCATATAGCATGTCTGATCTTATCATTGCTTTGACACCATTTATTCCATAACACAAGTTTTACTGTCCTCTGTCTCGTAAATACCACCAACCTTCAGTCTTAAATGAAGAAAATGACGGAAGAAGCAAATTCATTTTTCAAATCAATTAATATATTTCAATCAGGGCTAAGCCCTAGCTTTCTGATCCATTAATAAACAAATTGATGTTTATTTTTAGTACTGAAATAAATTATTAATATCAACAATACACTTCATCTGTTGCTGAATAGTGCTTAGTAAGCAGTTTTCCCAAATCAAAGTTGCAAGTTTGTACTCCGGTCATGTTGGTTAAAATTTCCTTTGATAAATTTCAGCGTGAAATCTTAATTTCATCTTGCGATTAATTTTGTCAAATCTGAACAAATATAAGCCTTGATCTAATTCAATGTCATTGTAATTATACGGTCTGGCTCACAAACTGTCATAATATCACAAAAGGGTTCATAATATTTTTTTCCAAATGACAAAGCAGCTTGAGCAATCATATCCAATGTATTTATATCAAAGGCATCGCATGTCAGAAACGGTCATGTGTGAAATGATCTTGCTAATATCAATTGTTATTCTTTGAAATTGTCAGGAAAATTATGTCAAATTACATATTTCTTTAATGTTATCTCAGTATGGTGATTCAAATGAAAGGGTATTAATTCTACTTTGAAACAAATGGCCACACACAGTGTCCTTTCATTATAAAGGTTTATAAAAGAAGCATTTTGTTCACTTCCAAATGTGTCAGTTTTTCCACCTCTCGTTTATTTCTCAATACACATAACAGTGGTTCTTCATATGAAAGCATTTTTCATCCTCTTTCATACTAATGCTGATCTCATTTTCACTAACAAATTCAATTTTACTTTTTAATTAGATTTTAACATTTTAACAATTTGCATACTGACCTGCCACTGTGGGGGTTCATCTGCTGGGGTACCACTGTTGTACACTGACAGAATCCAGCCACCTTGTCTCATACTGGCACAGTGTTGGAAAGATAAAATAACTGGCTTTTTCAACACTACACTCTGTGGACCCACAAGGATCACAGGACTCAGAACAGTTTGACGATCTGAAAAAATATGAAGAAATTATATATGTTATACAGATGATGTGTGACATCAGGAAAACTCGGATTGAGACACAAGTGTCATAGAATTGGCCCGACATCACACTGAATATGAAATAATACACCTTATTCACTGTAATGAGCACCCTGGGTGCTTGGAACATTTACATTAAGATGGAAACTGACTAAATCAAAGGAGATATATGTTAAACCTTAGTATAAAGTGTTACATCTGTATTTGTATAAGCAGACACATTTCAGCGTTCAGTACTCTACTCCCTCCCTACTGCCCCACCCCACCTCCAGGCTGCCCCCACCCCACATCTGCTACCCACCCCACTTCCCGGCTGCCCCACCCCACCTCCAGGCTGCCCCCACCCCACATCTGCTACCCAACCCACTTCCCGGCTGCCCCCAACCCACATCAGCTACCCAACCCACTTCCAGGCTGCCCCACCCCACATCTGCTACCCAACCCACTTCCCGGCTGCCCCCACCCTACCTCCAGGCTGCCCCCACCCCACATCTGCTACCCAACCCACTTCCCGGCTGCCCCCACCCTACCTCCAGGCTGCCCCCCACCCCACATCTGCTACCCAACCCACTTCCCGGCTGCCCCCATCCCACATCTGCTACCCGCCCCACCTCCAGGCTTCCTCCACCCCACATCCGCTACCCCAACAGCAATATGACTAACCATGTAATCTTGGTCTGTCTTTGTCGTCCCGACATATGGCCATGTAAATCTCCTCCACAGTGCCTTTCTTTATCGCCCCCTCTGGCACCATCAAGCTTACACCTGCAATATTACAAAAGATATAGTAAATAGGCATCAACACAACCCTGCAGGGATATATCAGAGATATATGAAATAACTGCATCTGGGACATTCATACATGTTCAGGTTAAACATGACTGGCATACTGACCCGTAAACAAATCAAATATAACACATTACACAACTAATATGGTGATATTTTAATCTATTAATCAAGTACTTTTTCCAAAAGAATTCTTAAATTTTAATCTTAAAAACACAAATAAAGCTATGAATATACATGATGATGTTAATTTGGCGATTATTTTATGTCAATTTTGATTGTTAATATCAAATCACTCTTTCTTACAAATCAATATTCATATACGCAGCCATCAGTAATTTATTCATTACTACCACATCTGCGTTTTGCCTTTCATCTGAAAATTGACTAAAGACTTGTTGGTCCGCCTTTAATCCAGAATTCAACTTTTTAATAATAATATTCGGCCTTGGTCACATTTTATGACTCCCTACAATATTCTGATGTCATGTTTATGAAGCTAATTAAAGGCAGAGGCATTCGATTAAGTGAAACGTATTACTCATTTTTTTTCCGCGATTACACTGAGGGTCACATGACTAAACATCTTAATTCTTTGATCCTTCTCCAATGCCAACTTCAAACAAGACTCATTTCTTTTAAAACAATTGCCTTCCATCCCAATTGTTCCCAATGGATGCCAGGCTCAATTCCTGTTGAATTTCACACCATTTCTGAGCCTGGGACTCTGGAGAATGGTAACCCAACCCTGGAGCTAGCTTCCATATGGCCGCTACCCACCTTACTGCTTTTTGTGTGTGTTTTTAGACAACATCTGCATATGGCTAAATAAAACCCCTGAGATGATCTGTCCATAAAATCTACATCAGACAGATCTAGGATAATGAAGATGACATAAGACTATGACCCCCACTGAACCATCACATCTCGTCACTAGGGAAATGTTTTTATATTAACAAGACCTTCCCACACATCTGTAGTCTATCTACAGTATATGAATATGGATAGCATCATTTTCCACACCTCATCCTTTAGTTCCTTGTTTCTGTCAATAGTGGTATTATGTGTTAGATCCACATTGTCAGACTGACACATTTCTGGCTCAGGTCCTTGGTGGGATATCCCCATCTAGTTAATATGTGGTAAGTCACTGTAACCTAAGACATAAGTATTGCACAATCATTCCTTTCTTTTAAAAAATACCTGTAATTAAGAGCAGAAAGTTCAGATGATCCTCAAACAACAGCTGGTATAAAGTTTGAATTTTTTAAATTGAATGTTTTTCAAATACTGTGTGGATTTTTTTGTGTAGTCAGGAATTGAGGAGCAATACTGAAAGTCCTAAATTCAAGAATCTTGACAAGAAGAAGATCCTTCACTTCCATTCTGGAATTCAGCAGAAACCCTGAAGCACATTATCTATTTTATACCACATGACACTGCACATATCTAATGGCCCTTACCCTACAATCTTCTCAAAATAACTTTAAGATCTTCCTGAAATCTCATCTACGAGAAATCCAGACACATATCATGCTCCTTAAGTCCCTACTTCACCTGCTCATAAATCCCAAAATCAAATAAATTTAAATGAAATAAACTAGTTTTTATTTCAAATATTTACAGGCAGGCTTCTCTCTGAATTTCTCATAACATCCTGCCTTTGTAAAATTGTATATACACAATTCTCCTACTCACAAACTCAAATATAAATAATCAAACAGCTTGTTTGTAAAATGAAATTTTAAAAATATCAAAGGACATGATCACAATGTAGGCCACATGATTTGTAATCAAGTATGTCTTCCACATGTTTTGTGTTAATATCTTTACGGTCATAATAATTCCAAAACATCTGTATATTCATACAATTAGTTAACTTCTTTAGGTGGCATTTTAGAAGTTGGGAAGTACAATATAGAACAAACTTTATGGATAACAACTTCTTTTAATTAAAGAAGTTGTTATCCATAAAGTTTGTTCTATATTATACAATTAGTTGTACAACAGTCAGCATCGCACATATCCAGGTACAGCCACAGGCCATGATGGTTCATCAATAAAGTCATCATGGTGCTGATGGCTACATGATACACCAACAAAATTAAACTGTCCATGCATCTACTAGATACTGTTAATCATGATATGTGAATATATGAACATTTATAATACATGATTCACCGTAGACACAATGATATTATGTCCAACCTTTGACCTTTGCCATTGTCAACAATAGTTAACCTGTCAAATCTCCCAAAACATGTGTTGTTGATTTTAAAACAATTTGTTTTAAATATAAGCACCCTCAAATTGAATTATAGTTCATGACACGAAGGACCAACAACCATTAAATTGAAGAACATAGATCAAACTGATGACTCATTAAAAAAAAATTGTTTTTATCCCTAAATGCCTCGACAAACCTGGTCCTCAGTTTTACAATTCATTTATGCAACAAGCATGTCTGTTTCAATGAGCTACTTCTCCAGAAAATACAAACATGTCATAATTCTTCTTGTTTAAAAATGTACACATATATGTTTACATACATTCATTTTTCAACATTCAGAAGATGAAACACCAAGAGCTTGTTTGACACAGACTGTATCTTCCATCAGACTTAAAGCTCCCAACATCATCAGCTAAAGCCTTCTGCATCATCAAGTCAGTGTGCGCCTTAAGTGTTGCTAATACATCTAGGTCTGGGTAAATGGCTGACTTACATTCTTCTACCATTGCCTAAGTAACGTGGAGCCAGTCTCTCTATACTTGTCTCAAACTCAACTGGCTGATACCAGCTATGGAACTACACATCCAGTGCATCTGATGAAAGGCTATGCCAGATTCACATGTGAAAATGATAAATATTTCGAAATGTCACAACAGAGGAAGCCTTGTAATATCTTCTTAACAACTGCCATGCACATCATGATCCTTCACCAAATGATGGGAGTTAAAACTCTTGGCAATTAAAGCCTAATGAGGAAAGACGGGTGATTCTAATTATCTTAAGATTAAATATTTCTAAGACATATTTTTTAGGGTAAATGTTAATACTGTTGTGACCTATACTTCATTTTCATTAACATCACAAAACTTATATGTTTTTTAAATGTAGGCCTCAAGTACTGAGATAAGTCTTGACGAAGATAGTATCAGCAACATTTTTTACCTTAAACCTAAAGGAGCATACTAGAAGAAGTATTCATGGATTTATGTGTTTCTCATGGCAAAAACATGTGCCTCTGAAAAAAAATTTCATCTTTTTAACAGTTTGAAATGTTTTCCAGCCAAAAATCTAATTCTGCAACAGGTGTGCTAAAACTTCTTTCCAAATTGTTGTTAAAAGGGTAATTTCCCTTACCTGATTCCGGAAGCAGGAGTCTGCCACCATTACTGGTAAATGTACTCCAAGTGACTGCCTCTGCATCTATCGTACTTGGCAACTGCATGGAGATCATCGATTGACGACTATCCTGCAATGATTCACATTGCGACATTGGTCTACCGCTGCCCATAGACGGTACTGATAAATTGCTTTTGTCTTTAATTGTCAATTTCTCCATAGAATTATTGACGTTGTGGTTAATTGTAGGCTCCACCAAAAGAGTTTTGCTACTCTTGCCCAAAGTTGCTGAGTGTCTATGTTGTAGGTTGTTGTCAGGAACACTGTATGCTGGTGGTTTCTCCATTGTGTTAACATGGTTGTTGTTTGGTGAATCTCCCGAGTTTGCATGTTGAACTGTTACAACAGTCTGCGTTAGATCAGGCTGGACTGACAACATATCTGCAATTGAAAAAGAATTCAAATGCATTTATTAAAAATAATAAATTTCCTGTCAAATACCCCATAATTCTTAACTCCGGATTTTCCCGAAATCACAATTTTATGAAACTGAATCTCATTTATTCATATTTGACACTGAAGCAATTTTGATGAATGTGAAAATGTCCGTCAACAAAATTGAACAGAAATTTATTTATTTTTTAAATTTGGAATTACCAGAATCTTTAAATCCATTCAAGACATGTTGTCTTTTTTGATGGAGTGTGCAAACCAATTTCTCAAATCTAATCTATTAGCAATTCCAAATAGTCAATGGCATTTTCATTTCACATGACTCTGTTGCTCTTTCAAACAGGGCTAATTTTAAACAGTCTCATGCAAATTTCATTTAAGTTAACCCAGACGATTAAGTGAGTCAGAGACATTTTTTAAGAGACAGAGTGCTAAAATACTATATTTAACTGTCACAGTTATCTTGCCAGTCCCCAGGGGGGTTGGGCAGATGTGACACCCTATCCGTCATACCATCCCTCACCCTTGCTGTACTACATCCCTGCCATGCCCCTATCACTGGAGTTTAGGGGGGCCTCACCGAGCCCTATCCTGTTACCCTCCAAATGGGCTTTTAATGAGAATAAGAAGCCATCTTACTTTAGATGATGAATAGAGTATGGTCAGCTATTTCTTAAGATTCTGTGAAAAGCTTTGTCTTAGGCAACTTCAAAAGATTTAAAGGCATTAGTTCTAACTGTGTGCTCTCTTCATGTGTAAACAGCTAAATCAAAGTTCTCCTGTACCAGATTAAAACATTAAATAAATAACCTCAGATCAAACCATAACACGTTTACATAAATGAAACAAAAATAATTAGGAGCTTAACCTAGGCCTAATCTTATTATAACTGTTTTATCTTTGATAGATAATTTAATTAATCTTAAAACTGAATTTACACATTTGAAGAAATGTTGAGACTTCACAAATGTCTTTGTATTTTAATGAAAGTAGAAGTTAACTAGAAGTTCCAATTAGCAATTTTCTTTATTGAATGAAAAAATATTTGATCTTTTCCTAATAAAACAGTTGCAGAAATGTATCAAAATTTAATTCTTTCAATAAAATTGGTGTTTGTTTGGGATGTGATCGTAATGCTGAACTGTTAACAATGACAAATAGCTTCATGCATTAGCTGCATCCAAATATTCGTTACTCTTAAATCTGTCAAGCCTCCCAATCCCGAACACGTCCACCATTAATGAGCGTGCTTCCCCTAGTTCCCCTGGCTTGTTTTAGGGGTCCCTTTGAAAGAAGGCGAGTAAAATGGCCTAGTGACAGAGCAAATGATCGGATTATTTCCATCTTAATCAAGTAATCTGTGTTCCTAGTCTTGTCTCTGTGCTCATCTAAATCAATCGCTCGTTCATGTAAATCAATTGTGTCTGTCACTGACTTCCTACTCTTGCCCACAGAACAAACAAACTGTGTTTATACGAAAGCTTATTAGGGGACCATCGCTGCTAAAAACTAACAAACTCAATGGTTGGATCAGAGGGACATTTCACCTCCTTAACAGAAGAAGAAAGACAATAACATTATGATGAGATCAAGTTCCATGACAAAAAAATTTAAAGAGACACTAAGAGTCGTTAAAGATTTGACCAGAACCAAAGTTGTTTAGGACAAAATTGCCTAAAGCGACATTTGGCGGCCATTTTTTCCCATGATGCAAGACTGTCTGGGGTCATGTGCTGACTCTGAGATGATGCAGGCACAGAAAAAAGACATCCTGCTTCTTCCGATTGGCTTCTGGTATTGACAGGAGAGTTAATGATGTAAATACTTGTCCTCTGTCAGGCCTGGCAGCTGCCCCTGGGGTGGGGCAAGGGGTTCTGGGGGGTACTTACTGAGCCCTAGGGTTAAAACACATGTCCTGTTATGACCTGTGTCTAAGAATGCAACCCTTCTTGTCTGTGATTTCATTAATACACTTTTCAAAATGGTTGTGTGAGGTCTTGACTTTAGGTCTTTTGCTGTCATTGCCATGCTCACTGATTCCATTTAGGACATAAGGGGTTAATTGGATTATAGAGGCCCTTGCTTTGATCTCTAGTGTTTTTCAAATTAGACTTTGTAACAAAGAAAGGTAATGACAAGTTCTGATGACAACCAAACTGATTGAATCTTTTAAACGTTTTTGATTTGAAAAAAAACCCCAACAAATCACATCATTAAAATCCTTGTTCACTGTTTCCAAAGCTTTAATCATATTCATTTAATCAAATTGAACAAACCTCCATTTTTGCTGATCTTCTTCTCATCATCTCCAAGAGAAGAAATATTTGCATCTGAAAAATAGTGTAATGAAAATATGACACATAATGAAAATACTCATTAAGAATTTTTCAAAGACTTGTCAACTTAAACAAACACAATGTTCCAAATCAGATGACATTTATTTGTGTATTCTAGAACAAAAAGTCTCAAAGCAAAACTAATTCTAAAAAATATAATATCAATATATACAAAAGATATATTTGTATAATCAGAGGAAATAGTAGCACCTATAATAACTGATGTGTGAAATTAGTGAACAGAAAGTTCTGTAGGACCCCACAGTGAATCAATACTGACATGAAAACAATTATAACACACTTTTCATAAATTCATAAATATATGTTTCTCTTATAATCTCACCAGGTCGATGGCCATCCGAAAATGGACCTCTGTTCTGAGTTCGTTTCCGTCTCATCACTATGACAATGATGACGATCGCGATGATGAGTACCGCCACAGCAGCGCACACACTGATGTATACTGGGATGTTTTCATCGTCCTCGGCTCGACTTGCTGCAAGGCAAACCAAAACATACAATCAAGATATTTTAACTGAATCTAAAACACATAAATTTGGCAAAAGATTCTAAATTGAATTCAAATAATCATCGTTTCCTTTGACTTTATCAAGATTACAAGAAGAATGCAAGACGAAAATTGCTATTTAATCTTTTGCATGTCTTCAAATTTCAAGAAGGCATGTAACCAATGAGATCCAAGATGGATAACTGCCGCCTGTTTACTTGGCTTAAGGACAGCTCAGTTACTCTTAGATGAGACAAACAAAAACAGTGACAGGTATAGCTGAAAAAATAACATAATTTGTGTTTATTTGTGTATTTAGCAAAAGCAGATGCAAAGAAAGCAAAAGCAAGCATGATGCGAGAAGAGTTAGAGCTACTCCTGAAGAACATTCTTCCTTGATGAAAAAAATATTGCTAGCAGATACCAGTTCATTTTTTCAACTTGGAAAAAGCCATGTGTTCTTTTATGAGTGTCTTAATATGACCCACAATGCATTTGTTTCTGTTATTTATACAAACAGTGTCAAACTCTGTCGAGGCAAACTCAAACAATGTTGAAACTCCATTTTCCTGTTGGGTAAAAGAACTGAAATTTGTTTTACTGAATTTTAGAGGAAATGCCACTTGAATAAATATCAAATCCTATAAAGGTCACCTGATTCTGCTTCACAAGGAAACAAGGTCGCCATGCACATTTTACAACACATTGTGGATACTTATTGTTTCATATAGAGTTTTTTCCCATATGACATATATTCACACAACGCTACAATCTTGGGCATCATTGTCCATGAGATATGAAGCAAGTGTAGATCGGTTGTCTACAGATTGTGTCTAGTATCTATTTTATGTCACATCAACATAATAACTTTATCTTTAAGTGCACTTATAAGTAGCTGCAGCATCACTGATGCCCGATTCTAACTACTGTGATATAATGATTTTAATACTTTATTTATTTGATATATTTTATGAAAAATGAAAATACATATCATTGAAACAAATAGCTTAAGAATCCGCAACAATTGTTTCTGATTATAAAACAATTAGATATTATCTAAAACATCTTAATCACCACACTATAATTTAAAAAATTAACATAGTTTCAGTTGAAAAAGTAGGTTTACTTCTACTTGTTTACAAATAATAATCAAAAATAGTTAAGGATCACCCAGTTCATTCAGGTTACTCAAGTTTACCTGTCATGAAAAATTAATTATAGTAAGGTGGAAATTTCAGTGATCCCTAACTTTTTTGAGTAGCACATGTGTATATAAATGATGAGGAACTGCATAATTCTTACTAAGTAAAACTAGAATCGAGAGCCAGATTATGCTTGCTAGTCTCTCCTAGTTCATCTCAATGCGTTGATACGCTGTTTGACTCGCGTGTCATCTATGTCTGGCCAATAAATTCAACTTCACACTTCTCTCATACCTCGTGGAATACTGCTTTATCCCCTGCTATTTATTATGCAAGTAAATGGCCAATTGCAGAGACACTGTCGACTCAGCTTGGGACTAAGGTATATTTGTTTCATGCATTATAAATATGGCTTTTTTAGATTTCTTTTGAAGTGGAAATCTTGACTGAAGTACATGGTGCTGAAGTTAAAACACAAACAGAATATCTAATGGGTTTCATTTACGAACTTGTAACAATCACTATGTCGTTTCGGCCATTTTAGTAGTCAGAATAGGTCGAGTGACCATGTTGATCAAATAAAGAGTAGTGTGTATATAATATTCATAAGCTTCCTACTAACCACTGACATTGTTGCCATGGATATGTGCGCAGGAAAATGATATTTTCAGATACTTCTCTTCTTGTTCTGTGAGATGTGATAGAAGAGAGGTCAGACCTCATTCTCTATAATGGATGATCACCTGACAATCAACTAGTTCTTACCTATACTGCACTCTACTCTGATAAACCAGAGGTTTCATGCTACTTGAAACTGAATTTCAGATGCATCAAGGTGAATCAGTGAATTGAAACACCTAATCAACATAAGAAGATAACTTCCTACAATGAGTGGCTACCTGCAAGACCAGATACATTTTTCATATTTTAATAAGCAAATAAAAAAATATAATTAATAACCATATGTAACATCCATATTTATTTCACCCATCTGAGTGTCTTTATGTCCAACTAACAATGTTGACAGTTGTTGGGGAGTAGTATTTGTGACAAATGTCTCCCATGTGTGGTTAAAGATACCAGCTGTGGTATTCTGATGGTCTGGAGAGATAAGGATTCCTTGTTTAAATTCAGAGGATGTTGTGGTAGAGTGTCAGTAATTTATTGCCTGTAGATAGTATGCAGGGAACAGTGGGCTAATAATTTATAACCTCCGCCATGAAATGTGACAGTTTCATTTAGGGCTGGGCCTTGACCTTACACTGACCTGCATTATGATGAACTTGGACATGCACAATATTTTCTGCAGGTCAAGGTCAACCCAATAGCTGGATAAGAATCAAAATCTAATTTTGATCAGGTCACATTTCTTTTCTGCTAATTTAACAAAATGATAATTGAAGCAAGATAGTAATACCCATCCTGCTATAATTATACTTTCTATAATCATTCTGTCAGTGAATACATATTTGAATTTTTCAATTTAATTTATGACTAAACATCAATTTTCTTCCAGTGAATGTATTCTACACAACTACATTTTGCTATGGCAATGTTCACACATTAGCAGTCTACGCTTCATATGATCCGTTAAATAGCCTAGATATTTGTAAAGACAGCCTACATTTCAGTTGGTGAGACTAAACTCAGCCACAGCCAGACACCAATTTCCTTTGCCGTTCCGATTCCTGGTGATGTGCAAATAAGCTTCCAAATAATTGGAAAATCCATAGGAAATCAGAAAATGTGTGCAGTGAATTCTAACATAGAAAGATCCACCAAAGATAGTCAGCTTGTCTTTAAACTTAATCAGCAAATGCACAAAAAATATGTAGGATCAAATTTGGACAGGAACTAATCTTTTCAGGGTGAAAAATGGCAGCTTTGGTTCAAACTGGGAGGGAACCTCTGATAACAATCATATAGGAAGCAGAACGAAGTACAAACATCATTGCACATCGTAAAATAGAATTAATCAGATCTACATGAGTGGAGGAGAGACTATCACTCAAAGCCAATGTAATACACAGATGTTATTCAAGACTTAGCATAGTGTTATCTTCCTCTATCTTCCTCCAATCTCCTTCTCCTAAATTAATCTCAGGAAATGGCTGTTGATAAAATGGAGATAAATATTTCAAGACTTTGAAGATTTGAAGCTTGTCCAAAGTTATGAGAAAAGGGGAATATTTTCAGCTGGGGGCACAGCAACTCTTTAAATGTTTGTTATCAAAATCTTCATGTGTGAAACGTGATTTGTGGCAATATCATATATTTTGCTCAAGAGTGCAATACTGCAGAAATAGGAAAATATGCTGTAAAGCTAGACAGAAACAATTAATTTAAACTCCATATGTGGTTCATTGCTGTCAAGCAGCGCCTATGAGACAAATGCTCAGGTATGGTAATGACAGGAGTAAAACAGAAAACCCAAAACATGCATGTGCCCTTTTGTAACCTTCTCAACCCACATCACTCCATGCAATAATAATAACAATACAATTCCAAATAAACTTTTATATACTAAATTTACTTAATTCTCTATGCAAAGCATGCTAATTTGACAGGTCAAAGGTCAAATTATGCATAGTCCCTTCACCAACATCACAACATAGTGCACTGACCTTCATGAGATTTTTCAACAAAGGAGTTGTATAGGTTCGATTCTGAAATAGCAACACAAAATTATAAGTTCACAAATTCAAATGTCATCCTCCTCCCTGCTACTTTTTGCCTTTGAAATCCTAGATTTAATTGTCATCACCTGAATGCATGACACGATATGCATGCCATGAGTATGTACCATTTAATGTTCACAAGATCATGTCTAAAGGGTCCTCACTAAGTAGTGGATATAGTTTATTTCAGCTCTTAGAAAATATGAGGATATGAAATAGGCTGAGATTGAGAACCCCTTCATAGGTACAAAACATCAAACCCACATGTCGCTCATCATTTCCAGTTTTAACCAACATTTTCTTCTTTATGACTACCCAGCTCAAGATATAATCTCTGACAGTTGTTTTACCACTATGGGGTATATTTTAGTATACAGTGTTCATAAAATGGTCACAAAACTAAAGGGGTTATTTGAAGATACTAATTACAAAATGTCTTGAATGTTTGAAGCTTGTTTCCTCCCAAGATTCGGCATGGTATACCAAAGCTTCACTAATGCTTCCAAACAGATGGGGATATTATCTCCAAGACAATAAAACATACAAGAGGCAGTCAAGCATAAAAAACTCCTTCTAAATGACTTCTCCCAGATATGTCGAGGAACTCAAGGAAACACTCACTCAAGCAGAGATAAGCAAGGCCAGTGGCCTATCACACAAAGCATCAATGTATCAGGTTTTTGCAGGTATTCTTTTCTACACTTCATGCAGTATACTATCATGTCTTGTCAATTCGGAGATCATGACACTACACCAAATTCGAATCATCACATCATTTACTTTTTATCCGCTATTTGGGTATACTTGATAATGTCATCAATCAAGTTACAAATAGAAACCCATCATTCATTTTGGAGTTTGATAACTTCAATGTTTCTCAATGTATTTTTATGAAATATATTTTAGATGAATGTTGCAAAAACTAATGGATGATTCTTATATCAATGATTGTGCTACTGTTGGTAGCTAGGTGGTGTCTTGAGTTAAAGAATGGTCATCATCATCACCATACATCGAAACGAGTGAATCCAAGACAGTCTAGTCTCACAGTCCCACAGAATCCTATACACATCCTATATTCTATGGGATGAGGTGATGGTGATGTGACTTCCTTCTATGCCGGCCTCCACAACTACGTGGCAGTGACGGGTGAGCTACATGAACACATGAGGATGCATGTTGGTTAGTGAGGAAGTGTTTAGTACTGTGGTGGACGGTTAGAGTGAGTTATGACAGGGAGGAGCTACAGGGAGAGGTGAGTCAGGCTACACACATAGAGGACAGTTGTGGACAATCAGCCTTGACCACAGCACGGCCACACTGGCCTCCTCTCAATCCATAGCTTACCTATGTCTTTCCCTGCTTTCTTTGACACTGGTTTTCTTGGGGCAATTTGTCTTTTTTCTGAAAAGCCAAATCTTACATGAAATATTTCTCTCAGTTAAGCCAAAAGTACTCCACATGGTCTAGCTTCTACAAGGGCCTAAGGAGGTACATGAGAAATCTAGTTCTATGCAAGGAAAATGGAAAGCAGTGAAGGGGAAAAAGATGAAAAGACAAAGAAGGGATGATCGATGAAGCGCGTAATTCTGTGAATGTAGAGATGTGATAACGCTTGCAGCTCCAAGAATAATCCCATCCTCCAGTCAGACAGCGGATCAAGAAGACGATGCTGGTTGAAAACAAATTGTCCTAAAATGACACCATCTTCTAGGAAAGTCTGATAGCAGTGTCCCCTGAGAGTGGGTGACTAACGCGGACACCATGCTGCCCCAGCAGACATTCAACTGCGACATACTGCCATTTCTTATTAAGAAAATTGAATAGAGATGGTGTCAGTGCATATCCTTGCTGCAGCCCTGTCTTAGACACACTGAGACAGGGGGCGCTTCTCACTGGGCACAGGTTACTGTGTGCTCGTTGTCGCTGATTATGTGTCTGCACTACAGCTGATTACACGCACACACGCATGCCAAATACAGAGTGGCATATTCAGCTTTTTATGACCACTACTAACTGTGTCATCAAATAAAATTTAAATCCATGCTTGACTGAACTGCCTGTATTCAAGATGAATATCTCGGATCAAAATGACAAACCTTACCTAATGAGATGGCGAAAACTCACTTCTCAACATCAATTAAAACTGGTGTGTGATTCAGTTTAAACATGCTGAAAGCATTGGCTGAGTTCCTGTGACTGAAGAGTTCACAAAAGCATCTTTCATACGTGAATGGAGATATTTTACCTGGGACTATAAAACTGCATCAGACAGAATTATCAAGAATAAAATATTTTTTCCTTCATTAATTGCAAAAAATTTACCCCATTTTGATGGGTCCTTTGATCCAGTAATCTTGCTAATCTCTATGAAAGGGCAATTTGATCACGTCATTTTCCTAATGGCACAAGGCTCAAGATGAGACCACTTTGAAAAACAAAACAGGAAATATGTTTTTCGACTGTAGTGATATCTCTTCTACTATCGAAAAACCTCAATTCAAATATCAAAAATGTGCAGTTTAATTGAGGGTTTGGGTCACATAATGTTTTACTGCATGAAATTTCATCTGTCATATTTGAGCAAACTCAGTTTATCAATGCATCTTATTTTCAGGAAGAAATTCCTCACAGAATATAAATTACTAAATGTTTGTTGACAATCATGTAAATATGACATGATGTCTTCAGATGGAGGCTCCAGCAAATATCAGTTCATATCAGTATTGTGAGGTCATGTGACAAGGATCATGTGACAGAGGCATTGTTGAGGCCAGGTGTCAGGATTTAATGGCCAGTCCTTATCGAGGACAGTGTAGATAGCAGTAACATCAACAATGTCTCATAACAACAACTGCCACAGGTGTACACTTGCCTTGTCCATATATCACACCTTGATGGCCATTGTGATCATAAAACTGGTAACTGATAAATATGGCCAGGTAACAGGTAGGGCAATTCATATGGACAAAGATCAAAGGGTACTAATGATATTGTCATTTGTTCTACCTGGGAGGAATATAAATATCCGTAATTAATGTGGCCATTTTTGTTGCCAGAATAGCCATTACAGTAGCACCCAGAGACTATATATATTACTGATGTGGTGACAGTTATTCTAGCAACAATGTAACCACTGGAAATAGACATTAAGCGTGTTGTTTCAATTCCTCTCTCCAACCCCTTAATAACAAAAAGCTGACAACAAACAAAAAAACAAAATATAAAAATTCCCTTTTTCAAGAAATACAAAACTGTTAAAAAAGAAGACTAAAAAATGAAACCAACTCTACAGCTGCTTCAACATAAAGTTCACATAATTACTTTCCACACCAAGAGACCCCACACTTTACCCTCTGACTTGTCAAAATGAAATCTGAATCTTAAACAAACTGCATGGGTCAGAGCCATGGTCAACCCCAGGAACTGCCTGGCTTGTGAGCTGTATGTAACTATGTGAATTCATTACACCCCGAGTATGATTCATATGTATGCACTAAGCCAACACACATGGGGGGTATATATTTCATGACAGAAAATTTCATCTCCCTCTCATTTTCCAGAAGAGCTCAAAGGGGGAGATAATTCACACTGACAGCTGCCTGCATACTAAGTGACCACTCAGGCAGAGGGATATATATCTTGATAATCAGATAAGCCAGTTGGGGTTCCACAATTCTGCAAATAAATACTGAGGAAATATTTCCAACTGCAACTGATATGTTGGTACACAGCCCAGTCAGCTGGACAGAGGTGTCTTCCCTATCCATATCCCTATCAGCAATCTTGACCACTGAAAAGTTTCACCAGGATATTTTATCTTTCCATGGAAGGAATTTCTTAATTTTCTTTGTGTGTTGACATACTCAGCTTGTTAAAAATAATGGTCAGATAATATTAATGACTGCCAGAGTTCACGATGCCAAGAGACCATTCCAACACCATGGTTTCACAACACACTGAGAACTCAAGTTAATACTGAAAATACACCAGTTGGTTTCAGGTTTGAAATTCGAGACTAAGATTTCTTGAAGGTCAACAAAAGGTTTGGTATTAATGAATTATCATTTATTATTTTTACTAATACTGACCAGAAATGTCCTGAACCAGAATTACAGACTTATGCAATAATTGTTCCTGAATGGAGTCCAATTATGCAGATTGTTTCGTATCAGTAAGTTCTACATAAAACAGTTGGTATTATTACATACCAAATATTATCATATTCCATTGAAGTCATATCATATTCACCCTATTCCAACACATTTATGTCATAAAAGTGTTCATAATGAAAACCTGAATTCTTTATCCACCATTCACTCTCACACACACACACGCACGCACGCACACATGCACATGCATGCACGTGCATTAACGCACATACACACACACGCACGCACGCACGCACACACACACACACAACCCCTGAACAAATCACTGCTGTTGACTATTTACCAGTATGACAGTTTCATTTCAGATAAAAACAAATACACTTTGAGGTACTTTGCCACATAATGAGGAGTAATTGTATTGGGTTCACTGTGGCAGATATTTGAAACTAGCACCATGAATACAGCAATTTCCAATCTACAAATCTGTCAGCGGGAAGATGGAGCACCTTCTTTCCCCTCCTGCTGGTCGGCTGTGGCCATTTCAACATGCATCATGTGAATGTGTTTTCTTAATTTGTAAATTTCAAATCCACATATAAACTTACAACTTCAGACAGGATAATTTACATTGAAACAAAAATAACATGATGTTCATATCAATTATTCCATCTGAACTGTTAACTGACTCATCCAAAACTCTCGAGAGTGAGTACATGATTATTTCAATAGTGTATATTCATTTGAATTTTGTAGTGCCTTAAAAACACTAATTCTAACCACTGAAATGTCTCCTATTTTTATATTTTACCAGTCCCATTTCAAAACTAATCTCTAAGCTGCTTATAATTCTTCAAGTTGATTACAGAACATTCAAGGGAGATAATCTGTAATCTACTTCCTCTATCCTGAGACTTGGCTGTCAAAGACTGAGAATTCGGGGCAGGTGGGTCTCCCGATAAGATGGCTCTTGTCATGCCCATCATGGCACAACAAGCTTGATGAGTCAATTTATCATTGGGAAAAATATTTGTGACAGGTTGGTAAGATACTTTGATCAGATGAAAAATGTTCCTTAATCACTGCATCCATAGTGGATCAGGACATCCCTGTTTATCAACATGTTCAAGATCAGAAAATATCACAAGATGGATTTGTCTGAAGACACAATACTGAAGACAGCTGGGAAATGTTGATAAATGCACAATTTCACATTAAGGTTCACAAACTCAATACATTTCGATAACCGACAACCATTAACTGATAAAGACATATCCATCAACCAGTGTGATATTCCTTACAAACTGTCATCTTAAAATCATCTTTACTTGGACAAGATGTACACGAGCAAAGATTTCCCTGCCCATAACGGTTGTGAAAAGTATCCGTGGTACATATGCTCTTACAACTTATCATGTTTGGATGGTTTCTCCACTCAGATGAAACGTGAAACTTCAACTTACAAACTCTTTCCAGGTATACATTCTTTTCTTGGTATATATTCAAACCTTAAGGTGTTACAACACTGATCTTTTCCGTCAAAAATCAGTTCACCTCACTAAGGACGTTTTAGTGCATATGTTCATTTTAATATTATAATGTTGTTTTGTCAGATTTACTTCTAAAGTCTGGTTTACAGCATATTTGATTCAAACCTGTAAATCAAGGAAAGATGGATGCAGAGCATATTTGTCGGCATAGAATTATATGCTTACAGAGAAACTCATTCAAGGCAAGGCTTTCAGGTAATAGAGTCACTGTAGGCAACATAAGGCAAACACCTAGGTGTAGGTTTACATTCAGAAGCATAGTAAGGCAATTCAGCAGAATAAGCATAAAGAAGTGTCAAATCAATACAAAACATCTCAAATATCACAGAATGTCTATAATACTTACAAGCGTTTTATAGGTCATAATAAGCATAATTAAATGTGCCCTTTAGGTAATGTTCAAAACATCTTAAATGATGTGTCTCTACTTCAAGGGAGCACTGTGATTTTAAATAAGGCAAGATGCAAAGAGTGATTTAAAAGCAAAGTATGAAATTCATAACTATAAACAAGGCAAAGCAATAATTATCATATACAGAGACATAGAAACATGCTAAAGAGAGGAGGAAAGAAAAGACAACAAAATAACGAGTACCTCTGCACATTCCCCCTGTGCAGTTTGTGGTGTCAAGGTCATTTCCATTGCAATAATCTCCGCCATTGGTCGGTTTGGGATTGTCACATGACCTTCGACGATGATGAATACAATCGGGACTACAAGTAGACCAGGACGACCAAGGCGCCCATAAGCCATCAACTAGAAAATACACGGGAGCCGAAGTTAATACGCTAGGCGACAGAAATTATCGTGTTAATTTCCAAAATATTGCCAATAGGCGAAATGTTAGTTAGAACTGATAGAGCAGAATTGTCTCTATAAAAAGCACATTTGAAGTTTAATCTTAATCAATTTCGTTCGTAATAAAAGTCCAATAAAATTTTCAATGAGGTTTCTGGAAATGAATTATCCGTTTTGTCAGGAATGTTTTTGCAACAGGTATGAATTAGAATCCCCCCGTTTTGATGACGCTGTGGTTGGGTTGACTCTGACAGTAGCTACAGATGGGGAGGGACAGACCAGAACAGAAATGGAGATGTTGAGGTGCCAAACCAAAATCAACAGAAAACTTCACAACAGTGCTTTTAAAGGGCAAAACAATGAAAAATGTTATAAAACTCCGTGAAATATCAAAGGAACAAAACTAATGACATCAAAATGAGATATAACAATGTACAAATGAGAGTGAAGGAAAATACATGATAAAGTCACAGTGCTCCCTCAAAATAAGGCTTTCTGAAACTTAAATTGGCTACAAGCACTGTTTCCATAGTTACCTGAAGTGTGAAGAACCCAGGCTTGTCTTTGTGGTACTCACATCACAAAACATGCAACATTTTTGTGTGGTCAAAAGTGTATTCCATGCAACAAGTGGTATAGTTGTGAACAATATTTCACAATAAATATAAATTAGCCTGAAAGTACCAACAAACTTGCACAACAAAAACCCAATCTTTCTGAAATCAAAATTTATAATCAACAGCAACTCAGGTTTTTCTGCTAGTACCATATGGACCAAAAATGTATTGTAAGTTTTTTCAACATTAATTCATGTGTGTAGGATAATAGTTTCTAGTGGTGAGTATGGAACAACGAAACTTCACACTTCAGGACACTACAGATATTTTACAATAAATTACAAGTCAGATGCCTAATTGTGAAGGAGTACTGAGTCTTGAAACAATATTTAAATACTTCAAATACATAATCAGATTTCTTTTTTAAAAATTCATTTTTAAACGCAACATTTGAACTGTCATGATTTTGTCTGATTTTTTACATTAATGGCTACAATACAACAAACATAAGAATCATTATGTCGTGTTGAATGTCTTAAATTATCTCTTTTACAGATTGACTTTATCATAAGTACTTAATCTAAGTATAATCTATATCATCCTTTCCCAAGCAACAGTCACACTTAAAAACTGAACTTTTAAGTCATCCTCTGTTATCTCAAAGGTTCTGTGAATATGTTTAAAAAATCTCCACAAGCTGTCAAAGATGGTTAAACTATTAACAAATCAATAGTTCACAGATAATGTTAACATTTTATTACAAATCATTATGCCCTCATCACACCTGAAATTTCCCCAAAGACTTTGTTTAATCTCAGTTCAGTGTAAAAAACTCAGATCTTCATTTGACATTTCAAGTTATCGCATAGGGCCATGACATATGTCTTCCCAGATGCTTGGTTTGGGCTCTACATTCAAATTTAACTCAACTTAACACCCTTGCTAATTTATCAAGTGTAATTTCATTAAATGAAGCTGATTAAACCTTAATCCCAGGAATCGTTCATCTATTACATGATTCTTGTCTCAATCTCATCAATTTCACTCCAAGAGAGAAATCGGTAACACTGTTACGATAAACGATTATGTCACCATTCAAATTATTCACTCTAACAAATGTTACACATTAATTACAATTTAAACCAAAAGGTGAACACCCTAGAACAAAGAACTGAATTATGTAAGATATATCACTTTTAGTTTCAACAATAATAGAATGTACGGTGAATATAAATATATATGTATTTGCTTTGAATGGAGAAAATGGGAATCCATAAATTTAATCTGAATTGAACTCAAAATCTCCACTATCTTTCATCAGCGTTTCAAGGTGCAAACTGTTTATTTTGTCTTGTTTCATCATACTGAGTAAACAAACAAATGCATGCTAGTAAGGGGGTGTTTATTTAGACGGATTAAAGTTTAAACAGGTCACAACGGTCACCACATGTCTCTGATCAGTGCACTCAAATTAGAATATCAAATAATTCTACTTTTTTCTGAAAAGTGTACATAGAAATTTACTTCAGCTCCACATAAATTTCACCCTGGACATGTAAGTTTATATCTGATTTGGCTGCTGATTGTATTTAACTGAGATATCTCTCATAAACATAAGCTACTCATCTCCTAAATATATGCCCAAAAAAATCAGCAAATTTATTCAAACCAAATCTGATAGGCTTCTAAAATTTGGAGGGTATGAAGTAAGTTTGAATTAACTCATTAAGATTAAATCTTAACTGAATAAATTTCTCAGAGAATCTATTAAAATGAGTGATTATTTCCAAATAAATCTTCTTTGGCTCCATGGAATCTTTATCAGCTGTTAAAGGTTACTTTAGAAGGAGGTGGGGGAAGGGGTGAATGGGGGTAAAGAAAGATGGGGTGAGGGATTAAACAAGGGTGGATGCAGTAGGGGGAAGGGAAGAGGGGTATGGGAACAAGGGAAGGTTGGGTTGACCCACAGTGGGGTGAGGGGTGAGGGATTAAACAAGGGTGGATGCAGTAGGGGGAAGGGAAGAGGGGTATGGGAACAAGGAAAGGTTGGGTTGACCCTAAGTGGGGTGAGAGGGGTGAGGGATTAAACAAGGGTGGATGCAGTAGTGGGAACGGAAAGGGTATTGGAACAAGGGAAGGTTGGGGCTAGAGAGGGAGAAGGAATAGAGAGGGAGAACATAACATGTTGATAGCCAACAGATAATGTGTCAGTGAGGATGGGGGAACACTGGAATGGTGAGGCAGGAAGAATGAGGAGGGGGCGGGCACCAAGATGGGGAAGATGAAGAACGGACTGGGTAACAGGAGGCGCACCAGAAGTAGAGGTTCAGGAAATTGAAGGGAAATGTTGAGGTCTGTGAGTCTGAAGGAGAACCCTTTCCATCAGTGGATCCGTCTCATTGTGGGAAATTTGGTTTATATGGCTGTGATTAAATCAGCAACCAATTACCTATATTAGTAGTGGCTCCATCATGAACTGCTGTCTAGACGAGGGGCAAGCTTACACCATGTTCAAGACACAACATTCTACTTGGCCCTCGTTTTCTTTAACTAACACCGAAAGCAGGCCAATTGGAAAGTAATCTTTTTATATGAACCTTGAAATTTCAGCCCATGAAAGTTTTGGGGAGATTGCCTTTTTCCTCCTGGGAAGATCCAAAACAATATGAAGGACGTAGGATGGCTAATGGAAGTCTCGCCAAAAGCCACTCTAAATTCCATGATGCATTTTTGGGTTCATGCCCCATCGGAACTCGGCTTTTATTTCTTTGCACCAGATAGGTGTAAATATGTCTTACAAATATCTGGACATGCTGACTTGGTTGAAGCATGTCATCAAATCCCACGTGCCTCGTATGATGCTCATGATGCCAATCACTGGTTTGTCTGGTCCAACATCGATTATTTACAGATCACATTGCTGGAATATTACTGAGAGGGTAACACTGATTGCCCATAATAAGAGATTAACCATGGACAGGACTGACATTGATACAGGAATGTAAAACAAATATAACACGAAAACTTACTTACACAGTAAACTTTAAACAATTATTTAGCAGATTGTTGGTTACTGTTAACTAAGGTCACCTGTACTCCAATTCTAAATTGAAAATATTACATACTACCATTATCTCAAACTAATAATTTGCAGATTTTAAAGCAAACATTATTTCGGTAGGAATGGCAAATTGTATCTCTCCTGAACTAAAAAAATATAATTTCATGCTTTTATATGTGATTAGTAGAATGTGAATTAGTGTTTCAGAAAGGATTAATCACACAAAATCGTTTTAAACTAAATGATGATAAATGTACATTTCAGGTCCCAAGGAGGAAAGCTGGATTCAGTTTGAAGTCGGAAAATACATCTTAGCATTAGTCATACATCATGTGACCTAGTTTAGAAAATATCCAATAAAAATGATACTTTCATGAGGACACATATCATGATATTCCTAACAGAGATTTATCCACATCTTCACTAACATCCCTGACTGCCTTTTCTTGTAGAACATTTATTAAACAACATGTATATTACTTACATCAAATTTCATTTAAAATGTTTACCTACTTTCCCCCGTACTCCATGAATCATTTAGCATACTCCATGAATCATTTAGGTGACGCCAGTCATCAATCAAATTTATTTTTTTGCCATTTCAAAATGTATATGTTATGACATTTTTCTTTTTCAGCAAAACATTAATATTATGATACTGTTTGACAGTTACAATACTTCAGTAGGACAATTCATTCAGCATCGCTCTGACTCTTGTTTCAAAAGGTCTTTGTGAATTACTTTTAATGCACTGAATTTCAAGAAAAACAGATGGGTGTCTAAGCTTCCAGACAAACATCAGGTAGTGACCTTTCCCCAAACTTTCATCTGTTCAAGCAAACAGTAAGATACAATTAGTTGCTTGGAGAGTAGTACAAAGATGTCTACACTATTTGATGTCACCAGTGTACCCTAATTACCTATTTTTAGTTACTAGTTTCTGCAAGATCTTGAAGGAAAGTGGTGAACTGAATGTAATCAGAATACATATAATGTACTATAATGATGTATTGTCAAAGACTACCCCAGTGCATTCTGGGAGCTGATCAAAATGGCAGGCCAGAAAGTTGGAGCCTCACACTTAATCTGTAGTCAGCGTGTCGGACAACCTGCAAGCATGCCAAATGATTCCATTTTCACCTAAAATTTTCCTAAGTGGCTATCCTGTTCTTGACACTTGTGATGCAATGTTTCAGTCCTGAGGATTGTGATCTGCTACAGAATGGCGCGCCAGTTAGGTGTCAGACATATTTTTTTTGTCTGCATATTCCCTGGACATGAAGTGATTGTTCGTCGACATGCAACGGATTCTGTCAGTAATTCTCAAGATATCAAATCTTTAGTTAAAAATACAGTCAGAGTAATTTGATTTTGAAAAAATTTGCAAGTAAATTGAAAAATCTTCATTTGAGTTAAAGAATTAAATGGCTCTCCAAACTATCTCTTCTCAAGTTGCAGCACTCAAAGTTTGAAATTCATCAAGGACAAGGCAGTGAAAATGTTTAAACATCTGTTTCTTTTAAACATGGAGTCTACAGATTTCTTTAAACTCACAAAATAATCTTTTCATCAAAATGTTGTATTTTTCCATTACATTTGCATGTATTCACTAGAGAAAAGGTTTCCTGCGTTTAATTACATAAAAAGCAAAAATCTAGTGTAAACATTTTAACAAAGTGCCATTTTGTTTAAATTTCTGACTCGCATTATCCTGATAACTAGTTTTTCATATAGATTATCAAGTAATCCTCTCAAGAAAATACAAATGCAAAATAACCTTGAATTTTTTAAACTATTATCTTCCCATAAGTCAAACTACCCTCAGTCTGTTAGGAACAAACAGTTTCAGGATGGGATATTGACAGGAGGACAACACAGGGCCCACATCAGTAATGCAGCTCTTATCACTGCACCAAAATATACTGCTTGGCAGACAACTGAGTTCATTTCTGGTGCAGGCACACCATTGGTTAGTTAGATATCATGTTATCGCTGTACTTTCACAAACAAATTATTTATGAGGTTTTTTTTAATATTTTGTTTTCGTTAAGTCAGTTCTTATGATTGATTATATATGAATGCACTGTTGATAACCACTGGTGAGCATTGGTCTGGGTCTGTTTACAAGTATGCAGTTTGGATGCTGCATAATTAATTACCTACTTTCTAACCTTAGGGAAATGGTACTATGTAACCTGATTTGAGACATATTGATTGATTGATAAATCACTGGAGGCGGGGTTCAGGCAGAAACCATCACATATCTAATACCTGGATTATCAGATTAAGCATTTTGATGAGTTAATTTTATGTTTATATCATGTTGCCTGGTAACAGTTTTATTGTTTTGCATTTCTTTTTAAAGTGCATGTTTTGTTGCATATTTTTTATTGCAAAATGAGTTGAAACTAATTGACCCCACCATCGATGATTACAGCTATTTACAAGTAATGGCACTAAACTAGGGAAGAGGCTTGGTCCACAACCTATAATTGATCTTACAATTGATAATTATGTAAAATGATCTATTGATAGGCACAACTGGATGCAGACAATTACATCATTAGACAGTGTTTATAAGTTGAACCTTTCTTAATGACATTCAGCTCTTTTTGTTTGAAGAATACATTCTTTAATGGCAGCAATAATATTAAAACATCATGGCATAATTATATCTCAGTTGCCACATGTCACCGTCAGTTTTGATCGTCTTGAAGACTATAGGGAGATACTTGTGTTAGGGTTTGCATCATCTCCAAACCAGAGAGCCATTCTCTTAAGTAACTCCTACAACTTGACGCTGTCCCCAACGGGATACAAACTATATGGAAATGAAGCTAGAACAGACACACTCCTAACTATCGAGTTAAACTAGGCAGCTATGGAGGACGTCGCATTCTCACCTGGACAAATGGCAGTGCAGGAACTCTGCTGTACAGCTTCCCCACCACAGATGTTGCTGCCGTTCAGGGGGGCAGGGTTGGTGCAGGTGCGGGTACGACGTTGCTTGCCCTTGCCACACTTTGCTGAACAATCTGTCCATGAACTCCATGTTGACCAGCCACCATTCACTGTGAAGAAATAAGTGAATTTCAAAATGTAGACAGTTTATGTCTCTCTTGCTGCTACCTCACCGCTTGGGTGTACTTATTTCAGGAATCAAACCATATCTGCGTCCAGAAGAAAACACATCACCCACTGAGTACCCATCTTTTCCCTTACTGAAACTCACTTACTCCCCATTACCATTAAGACCACAAATTTAAATACTCATAAACATTAACATAAATAAGACACATTACCATGAGAGGAACCATGATTTATCTACACATATCCAAGTTCCATGTAATAGCTTCTGAAAAGCATTAGGTTCATTTGGTAGATATATTCAGATACGTTACATATGTCAGGTAAGGTAACTGAGTAAATATTGGTTTTAAACATCTTTTAGAGAATTATGACTAGGTACGCCCAAACTAGACTCTATGTTTTTAGAATAGAACCAAGTTATTAAGTGTGACAGTTCACTGCACTAACCACTCCCCCAGTGTTCTCCATCAGTCACAAAGGGTGGTATAAACATGATAAAGCTCCCTATCTCACATGTTTTCCTTTCACCAAAGTGGGAACTGCCACCTCTCAACGCTCTTACAAACTACAGTATCAAACACCCATGTTTACACAAATTTCACATCCGAACCTCAAATAAGGAAAACAATTGATAATCTTTGTACCCCCTGAGTCTTGAGTCTTTCCTCCGTTTCAAAGATTGTTCACACAGAATCCATCTTTTACTGCAGATTATGATAACATATTTCATAGGAAATACTAAAAAACCTGACAGGCAAGATTAAGGTTTTCGGTGAGCTTGGTCACCACCCATAGCCTGTGTTTTGCTATCACCCTTTAGCCATCTCTGGTTAAGTCTCACTTATAAACAAATTCATGATAAATGCTAGGCTCTATATTGCCAAAATACATCACCAAGGCTTTTTTCGCCTTTTTATCAGTTTTGGCCCTTGAACATGAACACACTCGGACAAGCTGAGGCGTCACATGACGCAATTTATCTCTTCTGTTTTGTAAACAATGGAAGGCAAAAAATTCCAGTAATTTCACTTTCTGTGGCAGAATGTGGATTAAACGTATCATTCAATGTTCGTGACAGTAATGGTGTTGAGCCGAGGAGAAGCAACATACTTGGGGGGAATTATTCCAGTGTCGATTTCAAGATTTGGTAAACATTTTCCAATTTTATAGTTTTCATTAACTTCACTCAACAAGTTGACATTATTTACACTCAGTTATAAATCTTTCACACCACAGTTCAGAATAAAGGAATGAAAAAATAAATAATGAAAAATAAATATTCCTTAATAGAATTACAGAATACAAACAGTAAAAAAAGAATACTTTTGCTTTAAAACTTTCCACCCAAGATATGATAAAATTGACAAATGTGTTTTTCATGCGGAAATAATTTGTCGCCAAGTAGAAGAATGTTTGCTACAAATAGTTGACTGATTCTGATGTTTTACATACTAATTGTCACTCAGACATGTTTGAAGTAGCTTCAAATTTCAAAAGAATCTATTTAAAGGATTTACAAAGAAACCTTTTAACTAAAAGCATCAGTTTTTTATCTGGATCATGCAGATAACAATGTCTTCTAGGATGCTGATGTTGAGGATACAGGAATAATGGGATCAAAATGAGCCACGTGTTCAACGACTCTTGTTAATTAGCACTGCAGAATTTGATCACAGTCTTGGTCAGCTGTAAATGAAAATGGTGGACAGACAAAAAGTCTCACAAAGTCAATTAGTGGTGATAAAACACGACAAAGATGTGACAGTTGGGGACATATAATTATATTTTCGGAGTTTGATAATTCCATAAGAGTTCTAAGCCAGGTTTCAGGGTGTCTTACCATAGACGGTTAATACGGCGGATTCACTGAGGCGCCGACTTGCAGGATTGTTGGCACCACAAGTATAGTTGCCCGTGTCTTTAAGGCGAGCCTGGCTGATGAGCAGGCTGCCTTCGCTCGATATGATGAAATTCATTTCCTTCGTGTTGATCTGTATCCCGTCTTTCAGCCAAAAAACCTGCAAGATCAACAAGATTAATTAAATCTACTAAATGTCACACTTATAGTCTCAAAGGACCCCAGACAAATTGAATTATTTCCACAACTTTGTCTACTTACTCCATGCCAAACATTATTGATCTCCAACTGTTTCAACCAATCGTCTCAATGGCCAATATATTCGTCCTCACACAGTCTGGGAGCAGTGTTAAAGGGGACCATTTATAAGAAAAATACATCTTCTACTGATTTGAGATTTCATTGTTTCTTTCCCCAAAGCATCGTAATGTGAATAAAATAACTTATTTCAACAGAATTTATATCTCACCCACCATTATTGATCATATGTACACATGTTATATTCTCCTCAATAGCTCAATATAATCTCAGTAGTTCATATATTTGATTTTTGTAGCATTTAATAGCGATGGGGTAGCCTAGTGGTTAAAGTGTTTGCTCATCACGTGGAAGACCCAGGTTTGATTCCCCACATGGGTACAATGTGTGAAGCCCATTTCTGGAGTCCCCTGCCATGATATTGTTGGAATATTGCTAACAGCAGTGTCAAACCATACTCACTCACTTAAACATTTAATTTCTGTGTTAAAAATATTAGCTATTCCATTTACAAGATATTTCTAAATTATTATTTTCTTAAGAGTTTAAATAAAACATAATAATGTAAATCACATAACTTCAGATTCATTACATTACTGATATTTTCAGATAAGAACAGATGATGTAGACAGTAACCTGCAAGTGTTTTTAAACCATTTTTTATGTCTAGCTTGTTTGACAATTCCCAAGATATGTGATGATAAATAAATCTTAGCTATATCAATATAACTGTCTGCTACCGATTCCCTCAGGAACAATTCAACATGTCTTCAGTAAATGGGTTTCCGAAATCACAAATCCAATTACCCTTATGTAAATTACTTAATCATAGACTGATCAATTATTCAACAGAAACCATCTCCATATGTTTAGGGGGCATGGTTGGCTCAGCCATCTAAAACCATTACCCCATGATTGTGGGTTTGAATCCCTGATAATGACCATTGGTTTGTCAGCACCAATGCAGCTTATGTAAGTTTTCACCTAAATATGTAAATAGTTACCAATGTTCAGGGGGGGGGAGAGGGACAGCAGAAATCTACCCATGCAGGGAATCAAACCTGTTTTTTCAGTGTGAAGAACAAACACACACTTCAACCACAAGGCTACCCTACTGCATCCTTAACCAAAATGGTAATGGATATGCCCTGTATAACTGTGGGTTCACATACCATATAATGCTGAGACACTGGTCAAAACAATGCCAAACACAACTCTCTCCAATACATCTACTTCTAGTCAGTCATCACTTCTGACAGTCCCTTCCCTCACTCCATTAATATCACACCCCACTGCTTCAACACCCTGGCACAACCTACACCTGCACATAAACTCTCTGCAAATACCACCCAAACCCTAACTTACTCCTTAATTCTCAGCCAGTAACAATGAGGTGCACAATATCAAAAGAATGCCCCTTCAAAATAAGTCCCATGTCTTAAAAATGATTTCAAAATTTGTAGGCACGTTTCATATTTCTTTTATCAAAAATGAATGACCCTTAACTGCGACCTTGATGTGCATCAGCTGTCTGTAACTTTGAAATGGCAAACTGTGATTACAGTATTACATCATGAAAGTGTTCTTAGTTGAAAAAGCCTTTGGCTTCAATTTCACCTTATAAACAAGGTCTTTTCACTGCTTTCTCTCTTCACAGATCTCATAAGGATAATGACGGATTAATTGCTTTCAACAAAAGCTTATGAAAACTTGTGAGGTCCTATTACAAGTCTGAATTATTATTTGCTTTACAGCAGATACGAGTTGCAATTCGAACCTGCCTACATCCAATTACTGAACTCTTGAAATTGCAACCATTTTATTTTTCTTACAAGCTCAGCTGCTTTTAAGTGAAGTACACAAGCTCTTACCAAATTAACCGTTTACACTTGTTTATGTAAACATCATATGCACTCTACTGACTGTGCTCAAAGCATTGAATCATTGCTGTAAGTACAAAAGCCACACTACTTTCTTAATGACACTTTGATAATATATCTCTAAAGTAAGCCATTATTATCTTTCTGTTATTGAAAGTATAAAGCATTGTTGTCTACTTCTCTCCTTTGAATAGATTAAATACACTTCACTAAAAACTCAAGAGATTTGTGTTTAAGCAGCGTATTGTAGGCATCAATATTTCTTTCTTTGATACACATAATTACTTATAAACGACGTTTCTTCTGTTGGTGTTGATTACAAACAAAAAGCATGTATATTTTTTTATACCCTCAAATATTATAAATATATTTCAAACTTGCCAAATGAAAAATATTCTAAATTCAAGGTGTTTGTTGGTTTTCTGTTTCCATTTGGAAACGTCAGAGGAGTATTTTGAAACCACTTATCACCTAATCCAGGTGTGACCATACAAAGATTTAACAAGTCATACCCCTGGCCTCGCTAGCCATATCATTTACTTATTGATATAGGTATATTGCAACTGAAACATACACCTGTTAGGGCAGGGGCCAGGGCTAACACTGGAACTGGAATTAACTTCAATTAATTCCTGGGGTGTAGTCTTGTTGACACTGACTTCGGACATTATCAGAAAAATCTGTGGTATCAGCAAAACACCAGGGGTCAAGTACACAATTAACTCCTTAATAGATGTTAAACTTACTTTGGCATGTGATTAAATGTGGGTTTTCATAGCAGGGATTCTCAGTAAACAATTGAAAAACAATATCATCAATTTAAAGTTTTCCTGAAAGCTCTTAACATTGTACTGACATTCTATAAACGATTCATGTATTAAACAATGTATGAAGTACCTAACTAGTACAGACTGTAGCATGGGTCATCAGTAACTAATAGTGAAACTATACATTCATATTTCAAAGTTCAACTTCCATTTCAAAATTTCCCTTAAAGCTTGAAAGATTTTACAACCTTTAAAACCAATTCACCGATTTTGACGTTGTCCACATTTAGATTTGGGTAACACATTATAAAAAATATATCCTTTTAAGTAATTTTATGAAGTGCAATTAAGTATCACCAGTTGTGTATTAGGAAGATAAAAAGTGAACTGGCTGCATGATTCTTGCCAAATAAAGTTTGTGTTTTCAAGTTTATTGGTAACTTTCTCCAATGTAAGGCGTGTATCTGTCAGGGGTGCCCACCACACCTGTTCCTCCTGTCCCAGCTGCCAGCCCAACATGACACACACACATCAGTTTTGTACAGGGGAGATTGGATGGGAAATGGATTAGATTGAGGAAATGTTGGTCTAAGGGACCAAATGTGGTGCTAAAATTATTTTAAGAGGTTCAATTTTCTCCGTTTTTCAGGCAAATAAATCTAGGGGTTTTTTTAACCAGCCACCTTAGAAAATTCCAACAGTCTCTGAGTAGCAAACTTGAACTGACACATTAGCTCGGAACACACAGTAGTAAAGGGAAACATTTAAATGGAAACAAGAGAGAAGGTAGACAAATTCAGCAGCAATACACTGCAAAACATTTGTCATTCAAAAAGAAGTTCATAAGTGTTCAGGAAAGTACTCACTTTGATATCAAATAATATTTTCTTCTTTTCATTATTTCCTGAGCTATTACAGATGAATTACTAAAATGGCTGCCTTTATCAGCCATTTGAGAGGTTGAAATGATATTCTCCACAGGACTAAACATAAACGCAAAACCCATGCCATTAAACGTTCCATAATATCTGCCTATAAATATATGTCACTTAGCTCAAAATTTTTAAAACATATTTTCCACCAATATGATCCATTCATCATGTCAAATGGAATCTCCTCATCCAATATTTGTCCATTCAGAGAAGAAAAAGAAAACTTGTTGTTAGATATGCTTATCACCAGGGCACCCTATTTGAATCTCATACCCACTGTGAAAGGCTTTTATTTCCTTCACAATGAATGGGGATTTTTAACTTACCCATGAATGCTCAACATGAAGGGATTGAAATGTACATGGGGATCATTGCTAAGCCTATTTCTCTACAACTAGTATTTAAACAATGTAGAAAAAATACATGGTAAAGTGGGAAAAGATGAAGTTATTCAAACCATTAACGTTTTGGGAGAATGGTAATGCATGTTAATATCTCATTTTCACTTGGTTTGCATGAATTGAGGAAGCTGTTTTTCATCTCAAGAAGAATAATTTTTGAATAGATTGAACAACTACCTTCCTAATGGTACTTACATATAACATCTTGGCAGTGAACCTGAAATGACTCAATCAACATTGGTTGTAAGAATATTTTATATTCTCTTTGAACTACATTTCAGAATTATCTATCATTTTTAATGTTTAAATTTAGAAAGGAAGTGTCAAAGAAATAAATAAAGAAGATAGCTTATATTTATCTCCACTTCTGCCTCAAGCCACACTGAGGCCTGTCCAACAAACATACTTTTCAATCTCGGGCATGTTTTTGAGGGAATATTTATGGACACATACTGTCATATTTCTGTTAAGATATCAAGCCATATCTCAAAATTTAAAAACAGAATTAAATTTACGGCCCACACAATTTGATAAAATAATTCTTAAGCCCTATTTTTGTAAAAGTTATCTGTGTGGTATTCTTGTGCAAGTTTAACTTGAATTAACATTTAATCACACTGTACTGATCTCGGTTAGGTGTTACTAGAAAAATCACTTAAATGATTTTATACTTAAAGCACTTGCTACAGTGTTCTACTAGTTTGGTTTTAACATATTAAAGGTGATTATTAATTTTTACACTGAACTTACAATATAACCATAAAAATTTCTGAGGTTGCATCTTTCAGTGTTCAATGAAAATATTCATAGAAACTTGTTATCTTAGTATGAACCATAGATGAATATCAGATAATCTCTGTGCCCCTTCTCTCCACACAATACTACGATCAAGCTACAAAGACTGCAGAATCCATTATGATACACGGTTTTAACACATTCTAATCTTGGAATCCTAGCCAAAATATCAGTTTTCCAATAATGAATATTTTCTTTCATGTCTTCCATCACAGTGGTATCCAACGTCTACTATCAATCCTTCCACCATGATCACTGATCAATCGACATTTCGCCTGTCTTCTACCTGACGGTTGTAACAGCCAGGTATTTATCACAAGGGGCAGGACAATACACACCTGGATTCCAAAATATCATTAGGACAGGTGAATGAAGAAGGTAGCGTTTTACACGGCATTTGATACGACCTATTGTAATGTAATTATGGCCATACGACACTTATGTTACGGCTGATGGACACTTCATAAGTTACCTATGAAATTCTGTATTGTATACTATGGGAACGAACACATCTACCTGTGCACCTGGTCGTTAATTATCAAGGTAAGCTAGGGGGAGGGTGCGAATTGACGACTGACATTGATGTTTGTGCTTTGAGTAACTTTTAAACATTGAAGGCAGTTAATGCCTGTTCTAAGCCCAACATCACTCACCACCTGAATCCCCAAACCCCAGACCAATGGCTCATTTGGAGTTAGACAGGGGGTTAGATGGGGGTTAGATGAGGGAACTGTGTGGGAGAGAAGGGGTAGGCTGTATGTGATGTGTGTATATCTACGTTCCAAACCTTGTATAAGATCAACGTGGGAATTGAAAGCAAAGCTTACCGCCCACATCATTAACACTGGCAAACAGTCACGATTACTCATTGTGTTCAGTACAAACTTGTACCTTGTGCAAAGATTTGAACAATTTCAGCATGTTTAGTTTACAACTAATTCCAAACTGACTTATGTGTTTTTTGGTTCCAGGACTAACTGCTGGAGCAGGGAATTTCAAGATTCTGGATCAATTCGGCAGAAGACTAAACTAGAATATTCTCTTTAAAACAAATTAGCAAAACAAAAACTGCTCTACAACAGACTAAAATGGTGGAAAGTTCACTTCCTAAAATGCAAGGTTTCAATAACCTCATACAGATAACCACTAAAACTTTCAAATGTTTCATAAAATTCAAATCACAAATATTATTTTTCAAATATTTCAACTTCATCAGTTTCATTTTAAGCATATCATAAAAACAATATTTCTTACCAAATTTTCAAGAAATCTGAACTTGAAACTTACATTGTCACACATTTGTTTTTGCACAAAAAATTCCGATTAGTTTCCATTAGTTGTGTAGAATGTACTCCTGTCAAGCCAATCTGTCATCTTGTCATCAAGAGCTTCATCAAAGCTTAAAACACGCATCATCCCGGAGTTTTTATACCCTTAGCCAAGTAAAACACAACAGCTAGTGAGCTACCCCATTTTACGAGGGAGCGAAACTTTGCAATATCCTATTGTTTCCTTGCTAATTCCAAACTAGCTCTAGCTGGGGAGGACACTCGGAGCAATAAAACATAGTGATGTGACTCACAAGCCATAAAAATATTTGCACAAAGAAAAATATGAAAAGACTTGTAAGGGTTTAATTAATCATTATTATTGTTTTCTGACTGATGCTCTTTGCTTAACAAAAGATAACCAAAACAATTATTTATTTTTATGTGAAGATATAGTCCATCATTAGTGCTGCTTTAATGAAGTTTTTTTTTATTTCTCGCCTTGCATATTAGCTTTGTTGCAAAGAGGAACCCTACGTAGTCAATCTAAACACAACATCCATACTATGTCATTGCTGTGAAAGTCACAAGAGAGCATGCTGTTTCATGACAGGGTGTTTCTAATTCATACCAGCGACTATTTCAGAGTGATCACCGGGAATCACAGATTAACTGCGAGACTTGTCACAATATTTAAACAGCAAAATGCTTTCCATCCCATTCACAGGGTTTGGTTAGCCTGAAATTGTTCTCAGACCAAACTGTAATTACAAGCCTGATACAACACTACCAAGTGTGTCCAAACTTCCCTTTACATAATGTTCAATTTTCAACTGATAATCACAACAAAACACATCACACAAAGAAGTCGCCAGCAATCTGACACAGTTTTTTAAACATCAGATCATTTGTATATGCATGAATAATAGATATCTTCATCCATCAACTATATCCATGATAGGTCCCTGAAAGGCATTGAGTAATAATCTTTTATAATTTTTCAGTTTACCGATTAACTTGCTGGAGCCAAGAAAAAAAAAAACACACAATTTTTAAAATTATTTAATTGATTCTTTTGCCAGAGAATTCTATGTTTGTACATTTAGAAACAGCATAGTAATTACTGTGAAAACTTTTCAACAAACACAATGTCTCCCACTATATTGAATACAGATATTCAGAATCATGTACATGAAAACTTCCTTTCATCCAAGCACAATAAAGCTTAAGAGCACTATTTTCGACGATAGACAAATCTATAACTTGAGAGTTGATATTTGAATACAGGAAATTCAACACACAGACTTTTTTTTTAAACTAATGTAGCATTTTAGGTTTATTGTGACTTTCCTACAACTTTGTCTTAATTCCGTTTGATAAATTTTGAGTGAGATGCGAGAGTGAGATTGTGTTTACTGAGGAGCATAAGATAAGCGAAGAATGAGAGGTTATTGAGGAGACGTAGTAGAGAATAATCAGCTGACCACTCCCTTGTTGGGGCAAGATGGAGTGTAAGGGCTGGTTCATGTACTAGCAATACAAGGTGGAACGACGTCCCCATGGATCTTGTATGTTCCCTCCATCAGAACAAAGTGTAGGATTGTCGGCAAAGACTTCCCTTTTCCTATGGCTGTAAAATCTCAGCCAAATTCCAAAGATAATACAGAGAGGCACTGTGTCATCTCCAAATGATGTCTAGGCCTATACCACTAAAAAACATACTCTTTAATCATAAAGAAATTAATTTTGATCCCGAACTCATTGACCCGTAGCTGGGAAATATTTTTCCTAATTGATTCCGGGAGTATTTTCCAGATTCTTGCAGTAAAGGTATGACTAAGGACCCCGGGCTGCAGATGGGCTGCTGTGTGGTAATACGTCAGTCTGAACACACAGAGAGGATGCATCATGAACATCGTTTTACTACATCATCGCCACAGTTAACTTGCAGACGGCATAAAAGCTAGAGGCCTGATTGAGAGGCAAGATGGTGTGTTTGTGCTGGGTCTTGATAAGATTTATGATTCTGCTCCAAGACAAATATGCAAAATAATTAAAAGAAGAATGCAGGAGAGGGACAGACAAGAATTACAATAGTATAAGGCTCCATAAAGAGCAGAGAAGCCCAATCTGCCCTCACATCTGCACAACATATTCTCTTTCTGTTTCCCACAGTCAAGACTTGGTCTTCCATACTGACTGGATTCTGCTCCAGATAACATCTACCCTGCATGTTCAACTCTGAAGACCCCTAGTCAATCTCTCAACTAGGAATATTTTCACTTTGATCTCAACCAGTTTAGACAGGAAGGAAGGTTTATGTTTTGTAAAAATTTCCATCAAAACCCCATGTCTGGAGCCGTTTCCCATGTGACTCTGAATGGCGAATGTTTGTCTGCCTTCCAGACATCTACAGATACCATATCTCTATATCAAAACATACTCCATTGTTTTAAAATCTATTAACAATATCTGTAGAAGAACTGTTTGGTCTGATCATATTAATGTTCAAAATAAAGTCTGTGAATATACCTTAATGTTCCCTTAATCCTTCCTGAAATATTTCACGTTTCAGCATATAAACCAAAGTAATGCGTCTTTAAGTAGAAAATGTTATATGAAGTTCAAGACACGTTTCCTTACATGTTTCTCTGATTCTGATTTTACCATACCTGTGGCAATGGCTTCCCATCTGGCGGCAAACACTGCAACTCAGCCGATGATTCAATCTCCACATTCATGCTCATTGGCTCCCGCTGAAAGCGCTTTTTTCAAATCTGAAAATAATTATAATGACAATATAAGTCTAAATATAGATCACAAAAATCATGAGCATAAATTCCTAAAATAATGTAAAAGGTGAACACTAGTCTTGATTTTCAAACAAAACAGATTAATTTGGACAGGATCAGAGATGACACCAGGTGTTTAACATGACACATTCCTCCAATCAAAACGTGTTTACATTAGTCGAGTATTACAGTTACCATATTCACTGTTTTAAGCACCATGACCAAGGTCTAACCCATTCCTTATCATTTTGACCGACCCTTGCTGAGACTGAGAAGGCTGCATGTTTCTGTGTAGACTACCAAATAGTTGGAATATTGCTGAGTGCAGCATTAAACAACCAACTTACGAATTACAAACTGTCAATAGAAACATAAAAAAAAGTTAATTCATTATCCCTTGATCTCTGAGAGCAAGTTTAGTTGTTGTGAACGGCTTTAAGAAACACCTCCTTTCCACAATTTTTAAGTGCCTGGTGCTCATATCATAGCTAATACAGTAGTCTAAAGATCAGTGATGAGGTAACTTTCACTTCCTTATCGACTTACTTATAATGTCAGATAAAAGCTTGTTGCATACTTCTGAGGATGAAATGTGCTTCCATTTATTCTGCCGAGTAACATTTCAAAACCTGGCAAAAACAGTTGTGTTCATTCCTATCAAATGGTGCAGACAGAGCCATCCTACGGAGACGTTCTTTCCTCATCTCACCTACTACATAAATTCCATGTCTGTCTCGCAATTCCCCAGTCTAAAAACATATATTTCTTAAATATCGCACCAACCATGCCAAACCTTGTCATTTATATACAGTCTCATTCTAAATAACAAAAACGACAATATTTTATAAATGTATGCAATAAGTTGTGCTGAAAATATCACGTATGTATATAATATAAGTTTCATGTTCCATAGATAATGATTTGGTAATCAGAAAATATCATTTTTTGGGCAATAAAATACTGGAAGTATTATCAACAGATGTACATATCTGCACATTTCATGTTATTTTACGTTTTGCTGATGCATTACTGTCTGCGCCCTGATTCACACTACAACAGTGATGCACACAAAATATCTGCATAGCGAGACGGCCCTCGTTTTTACATCATAAACAGTCAAGTATAGTTGGTTGTAATGGAAATGACACCGAATATCCCCACCATGAAGGAATTCAACTGATGTTGATGTTAGTCAAGTAACTAAGAAATGGATTCAAACAGCTTTGAAGAAGGATGGTTCTCATCTGTATTTGATTAAATTCAAGCTAGCCTGCTAGCCTGAGACAACTAAACTGTACTGAGGACAAGTGAAAAACTGTTTGACCTGTATATGTCAACCAGATCTATAATTCTGAACCAGTTCTCAATGCTTATGTCTGCTACAAATTGCATGGAACCGTATAAAACTGACAGAAAATGCAACAAACTCAGAGACTAGTGAGTGAGTGAGTTTAGTTTTACGCCACACTCAGCAATATTCAAGGGATATGGCGACGTTCTGTAAATAATCGAGTCTAGACCAGATAATCCAGTGATGAAGAGCATGAGCATCCATCTACACAATTAGGATACGATGACATGTGTCAACCAAGTAAGCGAGCCTGAAGACCCAATCCTGTTAGTTGCCTCTTAACACAAGCATGGGTTGCTGAAGATCAGTTCTAACCCAGATCTTCACAGGTCTCAGAGACTAGTGATATACAGCATGCTTTACTCAGACATTAATTAATAGACCCACAGTGATATGACTAAAACAGCTTCAAACCCAACTTAAAATGCTCTAATCAAATATTCAGAAACTTAAAATGTTAAGGTAGAAAGTAATATATAAATCAATGAAAATATTAGTGTTTGGAACTAATACAACAAACATCATTCCAGTTATTTATTTCCTTTATCGTCACAATATGACTGCAATATTGCCGATGTGACGCTAAATATTAACTCACTCACTTATTTCATTTATCAAAGTATCACATCTATAGCCCATCAGAACCTCACTACGTCCTTGGTCAGTATCAGCAACTGAAGTCATTGCTCAAGTGAAACAGTTAAAAATTAATTCAAGAAAGCTTTAAAACTCAAGAATTTATTATCAAAACATTTATAAAAGGCATGGATTCCCATTTATAATTCAGAAAGCTGAAATATCATTACATCATTAACAATGATAATTCTGTTACAGCCTTAACCTCCGAGCTGATTGTCTCTTGTACAAGCATGTCCCTGTGGATTGTTTCAAAGCCACCATGATAACCCTTTCCGTTTACTGAAAAAAATTCTGATGTTAAACAAGTGTAACATTGCTTTTATTTCAAATAAATTTCTCTTACAAGGTCCACCCTTGGGAGCTTGCAAAACAAACAAAATTTCTTGTTTATTTTCTAATCATGAGCCAATTGCATTATTTCCATGGCTGGCAATGACTCAGATCAAATGGTCTGTAAATACATGGAAAACAACTGGCAGTTCCATCTCTCTCTGCTGCTGGTACATGTCAAACTGGACTCATACATGTCAGAAATTAACAACCATGTTTCCCTTACACAATGTAGGCTAAACACATGCAATATCAAAGTTACAAAATCTGACTTTCTTTGCCCACAAAATACAATATTTTCAATGTTTTGTTAGTCATATCTTGAATTAATCTATGAAATATTTTTAAATTGTGAAGGGGATTTTTGTAAAAATTGTGCATTATGACTTCCAAACACACAACTTGTAAAACATCAAAGAATATCTGTCACATCTTATAAAATCAAATTATTCCTGGAATAATCAAGATGAAAAAACTGCCACATCATCGTTTTCAACTCCCATAAATACGCCAGTAATGCACAATCATCAAATTTATTCAGAATGAAATTGACGAGCATTCCCTTTGTTGTCAGGTAGACATTTCTGCAATGTGTGTCAGTGCTTGACAAATGAAAGAGGTAGGTATACACTGGCTCAATAATGCAGGAGAGACCCAGTTCTTGTCATCTCCCCTGTAATCAGGCCTCACAAAGGGAGGCAGCTGAACAGTGTATCACAAGCCTGTCATTACACTTCAATCACACGGACTGTATCATTAGAAAATCCCATCTTTCAGCAAGTCAATTACAGCTGTGATTAAAGCACACTTGATAAACATAGATCTACATGGACAAGCTGGGTGGAGTTTTTACACATGTCGGGAACAAAACACTAATCCCTGAAGAAGGAAAGCATCCCCTGGAACGATAGTACTTCTCAAGGGAGTAAACCATACAAACACAATCACAGGTGCCTACTATAAATTATATGTGTCACTGTAATAGATGATATGTATAAAAGAATATCACACCATAAGGGGCATTTTCTGCTGGTGATGTAAAAAATGTATGTCTGTTAATTCTATTCACAATCCACATGGGATAAAAAAAGAAACTGATTTATAACATACAAAAAAAAATTTGAAGTCAGCGGCTAAACAATCTGAGAATTTTTTGTTTTTTTAATATCAGGTATGAACAAACTTTGTGAAAGTCTGGAAAATACATTGACATGTGCCGACAATGGACACCGGAAGGAAATAATGTGGTGGAGTGTCCCGTGAGGGATCTAAATCATAAAGGAATTGATGTGTCTCCGTGATGATCTCTGATGTGTACTTTCTGAAGGATTATCAATAAATTTGGACTTGTTTTATGGGAATCCAGATGAGATGCGAGTCATTTCCATATACATCTGACCATAAAGCCAGCCACCATGGGAAATATCCCCAGGAATGGATGGGTGGAGACAATCAATTATCGTGTGACTTGATGGAGATTACTGGACCAAGAAGGTGATAACTCCCAGTGATTAGTGGATAGAATGGAGGGCGAGGACATGTGTCACATATGCAGAGGCGTGCTAGGCAGGGGGAGCCAGCAGGTGGAGGGTGGGGTGGCAATGACAGCGAGGTGGGGCAGGGGGGTATGGCTGTGGGTAATTAGGTAGATGGATAGATAGGTAGGTAGGGAAGCACATAGTAGCTTCTGTTGAGAAGGTAGACTGGTAGGGTGGTAGCAAGGTAGAGAGGGAGGGAAGGATACAAACATGGATTGGTGGGATTAAGTAAGTACATAGATGGGATGGAATCTACAGGAATGTTGGCGAGCAGATCAGTAGGGAGAACGCAGTTTAGAAAACATTAAGCAGTTAAGTGGGTGAGGTTTAAAACTGTTATAAAAGGACTGTGCAACACAGAAGGTGAGATGTCATATTTCATGTTGATAGAAGGACAGTTTCAGACAGCAGTAAGGTGGCAAGGAGAATAACTGAACGACTATGAGAAGACAGTAAGACAACCAACAGATAGAACATGAATCTCAGCTCCAAAACACTGTCTGTAAAATCATATTGATGAGTCTCCTCTCTCTGAACAATCAAGAAAGCAAGTCAAGCATACAACAGAGCATAGCAATCAATCCCCCACACAAAGAACCCTGAATTTATGACCACATCAGTCCATGTCTGTTTCAGCAAGTTACAAAAGTCCACTAATGCTTCTGCTGAAATCCTGTTTCTGAGTCAGAACCAGAGATACAGAATACCAGCATGCATCATTCTTGGGACCTGTTGCCCTGAGCCCTGATCTAAATAGGTGTAATGACCTGGAATCTTCAGCTGGGCCCCAGGACCAGGGTTGAAACAGAAGCAAGGTATATAATCAAACCATGAACTACCGACCCTATACAGTTACCCAGTCCTCTTCTACCAAATCCCTATATTCTCTGAAGTTTCATTCCAATTCCAGCTATGGACTGTAATCAAGGAATCAGATGCACCAACACACGATATAATTTGGTTTGCCTTTTCTTGCTCAAACACTGACATATCGAGTGTACATAGGGTGCTACAAGCCTGGTATCGACACAGCCCTCTACTATCAACGCTACACCTTCATTGCAGTCTCTGCTGCCTTGGGCTTGCGAGCCGATTAAATTAGGCAGAAGACTGTTGAGGAAATTGATCATTGAGAAGACTCCACTTTATCCATAACAATACCCACAGTCTGATCGATTTGCCAATAATCCTTGATCCGCCCCCTTGTCCAGAGCTGGCGTTTACCTCTTATACTTACATAAACATCCGATTACTTGCCCTTTGATTCTGCCAATCTTCCTGCTAGGATCGATACAAATTCCATGTGATACTTGAGGAAGTTAAATCGGCAAATAGAGTTAGGAAAACAGAGCTGAAGGAAGCAGACATTCCATCATACGGAGTGTTTCAGAGCTGTGGCAATCAACAGGCTAGGATTGAGCTCATCGACTTTAGGAAAGATCCGTTAAAGAAGCCAACAGATCTCAACAGATTTGAAACACTTCTTTCGGTGTTGGCTGAATCTCATGACAGACATTGCAATCGAAGTCTACCGATACACGGAGCTTCCTGCAGTAGTGGTTGTGATTTCCTCGTTGATCAATTTGTCAATTGAAACAAATACCCAGTAATATGGTTGAGTACTTTGTCTCTGAGAATCATTGAGTCACTGTAGATTTATTGGAACAGCCAACTGATTGGCTGTGTCTGTGTCAATTCTCGGCACAACAATTGCAATACACTTGTAGCCTTCGCAAGCTATTGGAAAAAGAGGGGCACAAGTCACTTGCCGTGAAGCCAGTAGTGTCAAACCACACTCGGATAAATCAATGGGATAAACAGTCAATTTTCCTTTAATTTTATTTATCCAACTTCCAACAGGGTCTTTTAATCAAAGTGTCACGGATGCCATGGGCTGAGGAGAGCTTTATAAGTCAGAGGCATGTCTGGGAACTTTGTTCCTGTCTAACAAGATGGATTTGGCAATCTGCTGAGATAAAGGAAGAAAACGAAGAGAAAACAGACTGATATATTAGGAAGCCTGAGATGCTCCAAGAAGACAAAAAAATTAAACGTATGGATGTTTGAAAGGCACGTCAAATGAAGTAGAGACTACGAAAGAGTGCCCAGGTTTTGTATACGACTTACTTGAAATGTTTCAAAGTACTGACTGAAGTAGATAAACCACAAGCCAAATAACTCAAATACCACTGCCTCACACATCAAACTAAAGGAGTGTTTTCAGTCATAATAACACAACATGACATGGCTTGAACTCAGTTTCATATTTACAGATTGATGCACTGCTTCCCTGCACAGAATTTTGTTCTGAATAAATGACAGAATGAATAAATGAATGGGCTTAAAACAGAGAGTGATCTCAAATGGAGGGAAAGAGGAAGGATGAATCCTCTATCAAGCCATTCTTCACCAGCCAATTGAAACAAATTAATGAAATATTTGTGAAGTGGTACAAAATGAAGTGAGCGGTTAATAAAGGGAGAGTGAGACTCAGGCAAAATGAGGCTGGTTTTTTTCTGGCTGATTTAACCCAGTCATGAGTAATCTTCCACCACCTTTCACACTTCACTGACAAATAATCAAGACTGAGCCATTGCCAAAACCTGGCACATCTTTTCCCAATCTTCAAAGGTCTTGACTTGGAGACCTCCAAGATTTTCAGCCAGGCAAACACTAAACTATCTTTGTCTCGAGACAGAGAAACATTAGGAGGTCCTACAGAAAGTTCTTGAGGAGAAAAACACAACTGTGGTATCCAATGTTTCATTCATGTTTAAACATGATCAATTTCAAATTCTTTTATCAGCTTTTCATTCTGGTCCAAAGAAAATATGTTAAGGATCAAATTTCCTAACAATTTTGACTGTGTAACATCCCTCAGTACATATAAAATGGTGGGAATATTTAAAAAAACTATTTAATAAACATCCCAAAACACCATCCAGAAAATGGACGTAAAAGATAAATCTCATTTCACAAACACCTGGTATCATCCATTATCTCAACTGATCCATTCAAATGATTTTCACAACAATGTTTCAGTTAAAACTTGATAGAATCTGTTTCCACAAATAATCATTGACTGTTTTAATTTCTATAACATTTTACAGTTGCTAGGAATGTTCTGAATCTGAGACAGATACATGTAGATATGAAGATAGTCAATATATGTCATTTTCTGCACTTCAGGGTCGCAGAATTCTCATCGACAGCTGCACTCTGTGCCATGCACGGCAACAAACCGTTCCGACAGCATTTAATGGACCGATTCAAAATAGCCACTTCTCTTTATCATGTTGGTTATTCTCCTCTTTGACAAGGTAGCAGAATTCCTACAGATTCCTGGAGAAGCGTGACCAATAGGAAATACCTTAAACAATTGTATCCAGCATTAACCATTTTGATGTTTCTCTCTGGTATTGCTTGTAAGCATGTGATGAGTTTACTGAGGCATCTCCGAACCGCTTCCAGGCTGATGCAGGAATGGTAACAAAGTAACAATGCTTGGAGAGGGTATGTAGGTATTCTATGTGGGTCAGGTAAAAGGTTGTACTATGTGTATAGATCATATATGATGCATCCACAGCTGATAAATATTGTATGAAATCTGTGATGTTGTTGCTTCTAGGATACGATCAGGCTTTACATTCTGAAAGGTTGACCAGAGTGTGTATCACATGTGTGACAATGTGTGATTAATAACATTGTGATATAGACACATTGTAAGATGTGTGAAAGGCTGTGATACACAAAGTGTGCTGGGCAGACATGCGAGTAGAGACGTGTACAAGACATGGGACAATCACTAAATGTGCACAATGCATTATGGGTGCTTAAAGCATGTTTTTGTTCATGCTAGACAAATGATATGATTATCATAATGATTTGACACATAGATGTGTGTCTGGCAAGGAATTAGATTCAGCAATTGTAGACATTAGGGCTTCCCCAACTGCATGGTTCGCTAACACCTGGTATCATCACTGGTTCAAAGTGATTCATAAACACATTCTTCGCCAACACCTGATGTCATCATTGATTTTTGATTCATATAATTTTTACAGCTATTTTGCATTATATGCCCAATGGAATCTGTTTTGCCACATAATTGAGACTGATTGTTCTGTCATTGACGATATATTTGTGACGATCAAATTTGTACAGTGGAGTGCTTTGGGGAAGAGTTTTCTTTTGGTTACAGAAACTGTTCTGTCACTTTCATTCACACATAGACAGACCAAAACTGTCATGAGTAAAAAAACATGTAGTATACCTTTTTCACTTTTGACACACATCACCCATAATATTCATTACTCCCATCTGAAACCCAGAAGAGAACTATCTTATTTCTGTATCTAGCTTCTGTGTCAGTCACACAACTTCCCTGATGCTGAATGACATATCTTAACGTGTGATCAGGATGCACTTCCGCCTGGACCATGAAGGTCACCTCTACCAGTGTCCTCCCTGGGTTCATTACTTCCCATGAGGCAACACACACAGCATCAGATTCACAGGCATTCCCACTTCCTAGTCTACCACGACTATCAGGAACATCTAAATCCAAAGAGAGTCTGCACTCACTGTTGGTTCAGCTTCACATACAAAGTGAGCAAAACAGGCACAGAAAGAACCATACAGATGTAGCTAACCTTTCATTGTATAAACAACCAAAAGGTTCAAACATTATTTTATTCTTATCCTAAAATATATCCATGTGGGTATTCATTTGAAAGTTTGTCAAGTTTCCAGTTTGAATCAGAGAACTATTTATTCAAATTTTGATGCATTAATAAATAATAACTGGAGATAAATTGCAAGAAGGTTGAAACTTAACATACTTCTCCTATCATGGATTTCTCATTGTACTCAAAACTGAAAATGTAGTTGAGGACAATCAGTCTTGATATATTTGAAACAGATTTCTTTGGAATATAAAAGGCAAAATACTGGTGAAAATTTCATAAAAATCAGTGACACCAGGTGTTCACAAGGGAAGTAAGCCTGCACTACCCGTATCACTCATACAAGTTGTATTAAGGGTAAATGTGTAATATATGATCTAATGAGTACTTACATGCCACTTCAACAAGGCCCTTCCGACTCTCCATGGACTTGGGGGCACTGAAACCAGGAACAGTATTCCAAGCAAAGCACTGACACAGATAGCCATCTGAGCCATAGTATTCCTCCACTTCTTCTCTTGAGACTTTGATGCTGGACTGCAATGTCTTGATCGCAGTCACTTGATCAACAAGTTTTAAATTAGTCTGTTGTCTTGGTGAAACATCTGCCCCAGCACACTTGAATGTTATTTGAATTGCCGGTGTGGCTTTACATGTAATTGTAACAGGTTTATTTTTCATCACGTAATAGTTGGACTTCGGCTCCTGTTTGAACACCGGTGGTCCCTGTGCTAGTGGATCACTGCTTCCTATGGCAACAAACTCACCTGAAAATACAAAACACGAGATGTTTAGTCAGCTGATGATAGACAATGTAGAGAATATAAAATACAACTAAGGGCTCTGTAGCTCACTTATTTCAAACAATGTCTATATACTGATGAAGAAAGAGGGATTACTGTCAAATTCATTCTTATTCATCACAAATTACTATTTCTGTCAATTAGTAAGTGGAGCTAATAATAACTGACAATATTCTATTGAGACTAAAAGCCATATTAATAAAAACATCATAAACTTTAATATAAAGGCATTTTTCTGATTTTTCAACTTGAGCTAATCAACAACAGCCATATTTGTTTGGCTTGATTTAAACAACTGTATTATGAAGAACATTATATATATTTCATCTGAATCCTTTATGCAAGGTAGAAATGGAGAAACTGTCATTACAAATGGTCACAATATAAGCAAACATGGTTCTTTGATGCATAAGATTCAGGTTTCTAAATGCAAATGAACATCATGATCTTATTAAACAAACTGGAATGATTATATACAATTTCAAAGCAGCCTGTCTCAGTAAATTTCACAAAACAAATAACACCTGTCATTTCTGTTTGACAAATCAACAACAATTAGCATGCAAGATGACAATTGCATATAACATGATCTGGAGTATAGTACCTGTATTTACCTGAGGTCAAGGTGTATTAATTAACACCTGAACTGGGAATGACCTCAACAATTTACCTGGACACCAGCTGAAATATACAGCCTGTATAATCTGCCACTAATTACATATTTGTCCAACCCTGCGGTCATCCTTTTATTGAAATAGTTGGACTCCAAGCTGGCGACTACGCAACCACTTTTGCTTAATGAATCGGCTCTATTTCCTGTCACCTCTAGAAGTAGCTTCAGATTTCATATCAATAGGCAGTATAGATTAATAGCATTTTCATGACACCCGCACTAAAATCCCCAATAGTGCAGCGACAGATTCAATACTTAATCCATTTCAATATCCAAACAACCATCAACTGACTCATGGAAATCTGTCCCCTAAAAAAACATCGAAAAAATGTTACGTGTCATTTCACTCAATTCTGCATTACATGATAAAACAATCATCTGTATGACAAATATTTTAATGTGGTTATCAATTATCCTTTTCAATTAAATGAATATCACAACTCGACCACTAATAGTTCTGTAATGTAACTTGCCATACTTCACTAAAAACAGGATCAAAATATCTGAATATCAATCTTTTGAAACAGATGTTTCATTTCCGCTTGGCCTATCGTGAACTTATTAACCCAGTTTGGCTTTCAGTGTTAATTTTGGTCACAATCCTTCCTCGTTAATTACAGCCGCCAGCTCGTCATTGTACAATGATGAGTAATGGTCATAACTTGGCCAGGCGATATCAGCTGTAATTCACATGTGTAATAACACCCAGTACCACCTCCAGTAGATAATGACTGTGCTGCAGTGATATTGATCATGTCATATTGATTTCATTTTAAGTGATATTGACAACCATTTCCAGACATTTTGCTATTAACATCATTTTCTGACTTTCTTGGTACCCAAATGAGCATTAGTCTTTCAGATGAATTATGTTCTCTAATGATAATAGATAAATGGTGATGAGTAATTTTAACAAAATATTTAATACTGTTTAAAAAATACCCAATACAAATTAGATTTATTGTTTATGGATATCAACATAGGTATAAAGTGTGAAGCCCATTTCTGGTGCCCCCTTTTATGATGTTACTGGAGTATTGGTAAAAGCTGCGTGAAACCTTTCTCCCTCACTCACTTGACAGTAAACGCTAGTTTTTATAGAATAATTATCACCTATGTCATATCTCATAGTTCACACAGCTGCATACAGTCCAACCACAGTTATGGTGATATACTTGGCCTGCATCATCCTGAATCTGTGATGTCCACCAGCTTCATACATAAATACCTAGCACAACAATAGATGACTGTAATCTACAAGGGCTCAGTGACCGCAGTGAACAAAACAGAGGACAGATCAGACATTATCAGAAGCTATCAGCAAAAATCTCCACAAATCCCCCTTACAGCAGTGGGTAACCTTTGAAGTAGAGCGATAACCTGAAGATATCATGTGTATGTCGGCCCTGATATGTACAGCAACTGTGCATCAGACCGCCAATCATATCTCACATGCACATCTCTACACAGTCATGTCCGTGAACATCATCATGTCAGCTGAGATACGCAGGTGAAGCTGACATGTGTTGTTGATAACTGAAATCTTTCACTGAGCTGACTTATTTTACATGGTATTATTGCTGTTGGATTTCAACACAGGGCTCACATTGTCTGCCCATGGAAACAGTTGGCAGTGTCAAACAGGAAACAAGTTCATGTTACAAATATCAAACTATATGAAATAACTGAAATTTTTGTTCGAAGTAAAATTGGAATCTTACACTGATGTAAGTCTACAAGTGGACATGCAAGTCCATTATTTGGGAGACAGTGTGTAGGTATATGAAATTCGCACAATGTTAAATTGTCTTTACAAAGCATAATGTAACAATATGACTGAAATTTTCAAATATACTCTTGATCATCTCAGAAATTACCTTCCTGAAGAATATTTTATGTTGAGGAGAAACACTTGCCCCAAATTCCTACCATAACTCCTGATGTTTGTCGTTATGTTAAACCATCCGCACAGAAATTAAAACAATCAGGATCGTGTGTATATCACTAAATGTCAAATATACCTGACAGAGAAAACACAATAAGTATAAATTGTTACATTCTTGGGGAGAGTGGAGCTCCACCAACACTCACAAACTACCCAGAGTAAATACACCAACAGGTGAACGCCAACAGCCCCATGGTTTCAACACTAGAAGCCCGACTCGTCCTGAGTGGATGTTTTATCTGACCAGCTATGCTGAACCTGGAGGTCCCGGTGATAACTAGCAGGAATTATCAGCTCATGGACAGATCCCCCAAACAGACACTCCCCTAAATAGGTGTATAGTGTAGGAGAACTGTAAACACCATTTGAGCTGATTGGCTTTCACAGGTACAGATGGACAATCATGGTCCCCATCACTACTTCAGCTGGAGCCTGTAACGGAACAGTTTCTCTCATGACTACAACACCGTCATCATCTACACATTAATGCAGCAATGCTGTTATATAGCTTGGCAGCAGACTGCAAAACTATCATTTTAAAATCATTTTGTACAGTAAATAAAACTGTCCATGGCAAACACTACAAGATATTGCAGGGCTATGTGCTGTAAAATGTACCAACATTATGCATCAGCGTGAGATTCATCCCGCTGCTACAAGAACTTGGTTCTGTTCATCATGGTGCCACAACATAGCAATACATCAGACATATTCCGTACAATGCTTAGTTTTATTCATCATATCAGTTCTGTGACATAAACATTCTGTTAACAATCCCAGCACAGATACTGCTCAGTGATTATCAAAGTGTAAACCCAAATATTACACATGTTTATACATATTTCTGTATGAGTTGAAAGTTTTTTAGACTCCCCTCAGGTACAATACATCTATGGGAACATCATATGTTTTAGATTACATTCCTCATCCCTGAAGTAAACTGACAGTCCGTGAACCTTGTGGGCAGTGCTGCTAGTTGCTGTACACAACCAGTCAGGAGGCCCCTCCTCCTTCCAAATCCCCTACCCAAGAGGTGCCCTTGAAACTTGAACATCTAATTTATGGGTGCTCGGGTAATTAGATTAGCTGGAGAGGCTCTAGGTAAAGAAAGAGACTTTGATAAAGATTTCAAGACAAATTTGAAGATTTACAGCATGGTCCAACTTGCCACTGGGTAGTCAGGACAGACCCTCACGTCTCAAATTCAGATTTTATCAGCAAAACCCCCATTACGGTTAGCCTGAACAAGCTTTCGGTCAGTCATAAATCTTCTCATGGAGAAGGTGGTCCACCATAAATAGGCTTGTTGAACCCAGTGTTCAACAACCATTCTTGCCTCAGCTCTTGATTAATACTTTGTTCCCCATTCCAATGTTTTTTCCCACAATTTGGACATGGCTTGTCTGAGACCATGTTAACATTCATGGAAGGTTCATGAATTTCAATCACGTTTTCCCAAAAAGTTTTATTTAAAAATCACATATTTTTTCTCTATTTAAAATTCCAGGATAGAACACAATCTGTTTTGAAAGCTTTTCAGACAAAGATTACAAAAACAGTTTGAAAACTGAAGGAATTTGAGTGTGTTGTTTATTGAGTATTCATGTCGTCTATATGACCCTATCATTGTTCTGCCCCTAAGCTGTATAACTTATCCACATCAGACCGCACAAAGTTGTACATGTCACATGCAAGTTTGTGCAGACATCAATATGCTGGTATTTATAATGCACACTCTCTATGTCTGTAGCCCAAGGGCAGATACGACCTGTATGACTGACAAACATGAAACAGTCGACTGCTGTAAAAAGACAGCGACTTGTAGACTCCATGGATTAAAATGTCTGATGTCTGTATCCCAAGAAAGCTTACATTTCTTATCTGATTAATTATCATATATTTTTAAACAACTTCAATGATCAGCCTTCAGGTGTTCTTTCACTCCATTCATCATGCTTTTGTTACTTGAAATACTGAAACGGAATCGGGAGACTGTATAACTTGAAATGTATGTATTTTTTATAATTTGTATATTTGATAAGTAAATCACGATTTTATATATCTATGACAAGTTTTGTTGGCACAGATCCAAAGTTTGGTGTATTTTAGGAAAGTCACATTTTTTTCTCACAAATGTTATCTGTTATGACTCGGAAATGTCGTAAAGGAGGGAATTTGAGCTATTAATTCCTCCAAATGTAAACACATACCTTTGTGCAAAATCCATATCAACTCAGACATTCTGAACCACCTTTAGTTACCATAACGACTAAATAACGACAATTTGTCCATTCCTGTTTTAAGACTTCAAGTGGAAAAGATAATGGTTTTTATCTGTATTTCTGA